GTCCCACCTGGCCACTGGGAATGACAGGTTCATGCCCTGTGTGGATTTTGCAATTGGCTGCAGTTTTATATTAGTATTTAAGTTTCCTTTTCATACATAACTTGTCTTCAGACACAGCAGCTTTTCATGGAAGTAATTAATTTACAGCAATATCACTTAGTCCATCCAGCTGGCTGGTTGTGCCTTATTAGTGCTTAGGAACAAGACTGGGTTTTTTCTTCTTTCTGACAGGGATTCTTGGAGCCTCAATGAGCAATTAGTTTAAAAAAGCTGTCCTGGGGAGACAGAATTAGTACTAAAGGCCCAAGACCTAACTTGAAAATCTTTGAGATGTCTGCATTTTTGTTATTCTTTTTATTTATCAAAGGATACTTTATTAACTAACAACCTTCCTCAAGTACATATCACCTATTTTAAAAAATAACAGCTTTTTTAAGGTGTACAAGTTAATTTTAATAATTTTAATTTTAATAAAAAAATACAGCATCATATTCCAAGAGATGAATGAGTATATTCTGAAGAGGTGATGCATCTAGTGTTGTTTGGGGTTTTTTGAAGAATGTCATTTTTATAAAGAAACTTCCCAAAGCAGAATTACTGAAGGAGTTGACTTTCAAAGGACAGTTGGTGGCATCAGTTTCTTCTTTTTATTGGAGCTGGTGGGACCCAAGACTAGACTGTAGACTTTTTAACTTCTGTAAACTCTGCAATATCTGCTGCAGTAGGAGAATAAATAACCAACAGCAATACATGAAGACATTATAGGTAACATGGCCTGAACTAGTACCTCACTAATGTGTACATAACCTGCTTTATAAAACCATATCTTATCCAGGCTAAGCACTTAATTATTATTGATTAGTTCTGCCCACTCTTCCAATATCAGTCATTATTGAAATAATCTCCGTATCCCTCATTAAACATGCATCTGTTTCCATGGGAATGCATTTTTAAATAAGAAGTGCTATTTGAATATTATTGGTTTCACTGGTTGTTCAGGCACTTGGTACTGTGGTTGCCCAATCTGTCATAGTTAATCAACTCTCATCTCTTAACACTGGCTGCAGTTATCAATGAGTTGAGGATTAATATTCTGGGCGAAGCACATGATAAATCATTTGTATATAATTAGTGTACAGCAAGGTTACAGCTGACATGAATTTTTATCTTAATTATGAGAGAAATTTGTTCCATTAATTTAATTTAGTTTGCATGAGTGGCTAGACACCTAACAAAGTTAATCTTACACCTGTCATTACAGCAGTAAGGAGAGGCTCATTTTCAAGCTGTAGACACAGAAACTCTGGTATATAAGGATAATGTTGCTCATTCTGATGTGAAAATAGATGATCGTAGACAGAAGATACAGAACCTGCTCTCTTTAAAGGCTTCCCAAAGGATTTATGTGTGAATATTACAGGAACTCAAATCTGGCTGCTTCTGTACCAAGCAGACTAATTTTCCTTCATTCTCCTTCTGTACTTCTTCACAAGGGAAGCATGCAGTGCCTACAAACAAAGGCAAAGATTTTCCTTTTATTTTCATTTTAATTACTTGAACTATGTACATATAGTTAACATGTGACAATACCATAGCCCTTGTGTGACATAATATCTGCATTAATAGCTATGGGTGAGGAAATTCTGCTGCCTGCAATCCAGCCTTCATATTTATGTGAAAAAGAATTATTCATAACTTCATCTACTACACAAATGGCAATTATGCAGGCATTCCTGAGGTTTCAGCAGACTGAATAAACCTAAATTCTGTGTTAATTATCCAAGCAATTATCAAGTCTGATAAATCATACATGATTGATAGATAAGGTGGGGCTGTTTGGGTAAGAGGATATGGTGTTAGTTATTTTGCTGATAATTAACCAAGCACTGAAATGAAAGAAGACTATTTGTGGCATCTCTTATAAAAATGTTTATCTTTATAGATTTGTTGATTATAGTTATTTTATTCCAGTAGGATGACATGGAAAAAGAAAAGCCAATACCTGAGTCTTTTTACAGCTAATGAGATGAGACTGAATACAGTGGAGAGAGAAATATAAGTGAAAATTGCATTCTGCACTAGCTCAAGTCCAAATACATATTTGTAATACAAGCCACAGTCTCCTTCACATTTGCAGCATAAAAATAACCCTCAAACAGAAACATTAATTGAACAGTAACTCAGATTAATGTTTTGTAATATTAGTTCACAATTATTACTCTCAGCTAAGGTCAAGAAGTATATAGTTGGATATTCACAAAGAAATGACTGATTTAAAAACAAAGAGCTCTAATGGAATTCAATAGTGCTTTTCAGTCATTCCAGTTGGCATCTCTATTACCTGAAATGATTCACAGTCCATTATGGGAGCTTCCATGCTAATAGAATGTCTATCTTCTGTAATACAGACACATCAGGGCACTAACTGAGAATCTGTCACAATGAATTTCATCTAGATTTCACTTCATCTCTTCATGGACTGTAAAATTTGCTCTTGTACAATGCCTAAATTTACTGTGGGTAATTGAGAGAGATCTATAGATGCAGCACACAGTAAAAAGCAGTTTTCCAAAGATCTATTGTAAATTGTGCAGATTTGGTTCAGCTGGGAAAAGATTATGAAATGCTGGACACCACTGGCTGCTAATTAAATGTTTTTGGTGAGCTCTGAAAATATTTTTAATGGATCACGATGAATAGAAAAGTGAAAACAGGAGCCTGGGTAAAATATCTGTCTTGCAGCTAGAAAGGCAATGAAAAAGCTTTTGAAATCTAAGAAACCCAAAAAAAGAGATAGGCAAATGAGTAAAAGCAAGCTCCATTACCCCTTGTAAGACTTATGGATCATATCAAGTAGACCTATGATATTTTTTATCTCTCTTGTGTTTACACAGTGCAAAGTGGGATATTATCTACTTAATCTGACTTCTTCTGGTTCTTTAGAAAATCCTTCTTACATAGGCAGGCAACTCCATTTTATTTTTGCAACTGAGAATATCCATCCTATCTGAAAATGTTGATGCTAAGTTCTATGCATGGATTCTTGATAAAAAATTAAAATAACGTTTAATGCGCGGTTCATTTTTTTCCCAGATGAATTCTTGCTCCTCTGCTCATGAAACAGATATTCTGAGCATTTTCAACCATTTCTATTTTTTTTTTTTTAATTTTACTTGTTTCCATTAATAGCTAAACAAAGTTATTGGTATCCTTACTGATCACAGGCTTTAATATTTGTTAGCCAATTGCAATTGTGATATATTCTATAGCTTTTTTCCTAAGCCACAAACAGAATAATAGCATCACGCTTCACTGCAAGTGAAGTGATCTCAGCCTTTACATTAGGAGAAAATCAGAATGGTATGACTGCAGTTCATTACTGAAATAGGTAACTGATGAACTGAAAAGACAAAGGGCATTGTTAAATGAAATGTCATTATTAGAGCTGCTCATGTTTAACAAATGTACTGTAAGTTAATTCAGTGGTGTTTTCTCCAAAGTTCTCTGTAGGACATTCACCATTCATGCTTATGTCTTCACATGTTCCAAGTATTTTTATTTTCTTTGTGGAATTAAACATTGACTAAATTTTAAGTAAACATCAGTTAAACTGTTGTAAAAACTGCTACATCAGTTTTTGGCCAAGGTTTACTTCCAGAGCTATGGCTCATCCAGTGAGCTCTGAAAGACAAGCATTTTTTAATGTTTTTGAATGCTTATGTATATTATGTTTGAATAAATGCCTTGTTTTCCTTGAAGGAAAACAGAAGGTAAATCCAGAATTTCATGGGAAATAGGTTTAGTCTTTCGGCTTCCATTCAGCAATTTGTGACTATGCAACAAAGCACTTTGGCATGTGTTTAATGTCAGGACCTGAAGCATCTGTTTTAATATGTTGCTGAATTGGGGCCTTAAAGCACAAGCAGAATCTTGGACCTTGTATTTTAAGAGCTGTGTAAAAGTGGTGTTCTGATATCAAATAAAAAACATATCATACTTTCAGCATCTGTGGGAAACTGTTTGCATTGCCCCAGAGGTGATAAAAATAATTTATGGACTCGGTATTTTTCACAACAAGGAAATGACCTCAGCTTTGGCAATCTGAGGTAGTTAGTGAAGCTTTTCTGCTACATTTATAGATTTACTTGAGCTACATATTCTTTGACCTGTATTTGAGATTTATTGGCAGATACAGAAGTCACAGTGAATAACCTAAAAAGAAATTGATGCTCTGTGCATTTTGTGCATGGATTGACTGACAGATTATGAAGGGCTGCTTCTTCACAAGTGATTGAGGCCTGTGCCCTTGCTTGTTATAAATATGTCTGCTGGGGTGTCATGTGAATTTTTTACCTAGAAGTTTTAATACAACAGGAAGATTAAAAGCATATTGAGACTATTGGATGTGTGAATACGAACTTGAAAAGAGAATACATGCTATGGATGCCACAATAAGGCATCAAACCATCCAACTCCTGGGAGCAGCCCTCTCTTCTCTGAGCAGTCCCAGTGGCCTGGCACCTCTTTAAGAACAGGGCTGCAGAGCCCCAGTCTGTGTGGCAGAGCATTAGTGATCCAAAAGAGCAGGGCAGGAAGGGTTCCTCTGGCTTCTCTCCTCCTGCTGTCCCAGGAGCGACTCTCAGGTCAGCACTGGGAACAGCCAAGGCTTCACCCAGAGCTTGCTTGGTCTTGAAGGGGTTTGGAAATGAATTCTGGGCCTTTGAGGTACATATTCATGGCACTCCTCCTGCATGATCCTGCAGGATTGAGTGGTTACCTTGGTATGTGAGGCAGGGAGAGTCCTCCTGGGTTTCCTCAGGTGGATTGAGCACTGAGCAGTAAATAAGGGAAGTAGATGCTCTATTTATTTGGTGGTCTAGCATCTGACTGGAAATCACAGACCACACAAGCACCTTTTTTCATGACACTGCCATGGAACTAAGCTATTAATGACATTATGTAGATATCCCTAATATATTTTCATCTCTTTTTCACTTTAGGCAAGGAACTTGAAGCTGCAATCGAATATCTGGACTGGCAGTTCCATCATTTGCCTGATGGAGATTGGAAAACAAACAGACCCCTCTCCCATCCTGCCACCAGAAGTGAGACTAATTAAAGTCAAGACTAATTTAAGTCAAGACTGTAAAAGTTTACTCTCAATCTCTGTTCTTGTGGCCTTAATAACCCTTTCACACAGTTTTTTGGCGGCAAAAAATAATTGGCAATATTAAAGTTTTAAAGCAACCCATGGTTCTGTATCTTCATTGTCTTCAAAGGAAGCACAAGACATAATAAAGAGTAGAAATTCACTCACTTGAAGCTGAGCTGTGTCCTCATAAGTTCAGCTATGCATAGATTTTAAATGTATGAAAGAAGGATGTAAGAAAGAAACAATAACAGATTCTCTCTGTTCTACTGTCGCCAAAGACATCACAAACAAAATAAACTACTTGGACTACAAACAGCTATGGATGAATTAATATCTTCTGCCTCCTGAATGTGCTACAGGAGATCTCTGCATTGGAAATCAACCTTGCACTGTCTGAATATGCCCAGAGCTCTCTGAGCTATCTGCAGCAACACCGGCCACCAGGAAAAACATATTTTCTCGATTTATTTCCACTCATTTGTTTAACTTCACTGCCATCTGCTGTTAAGGAAGAGAACCTGGCCTGCAGGCCTGGGAAGTGGCTGTGATGTGCCCAGGTTTGGCTTGCCAAAGCACTTCCAACTCTTACCCAATTTTACTGTGTTGTAAAGGACAGGAAGGAAATTGTTGTTCATAAGGTTTGTGTCCTGTGCATCCCTACCTCATCCCAGGGAGTGTTTTATCCCTGTCACACCGTGTGAATACTCCAGCAGCACCAAGCTAAGTCATGCCACCATTCTTTGGGCATGTTTTCCTTCTGCATCTTCCTCCCACTTTTGCTCATGTTCTTTTTGACAGCACTATTGCCCTATATTCCTTCAAACAGATCCTGGAAAATGCCATCTTTTCCACCCAGCATAAAAGTACATAGAATAAGGGCTTGAAAAGTAATCAGTAATTATGCCATCTCTCATTTTGTGCAGTGGAAGCACCATCAGTTTATCAGGCAGAGAGTGCTGAAGCAGATGGATCATCAGCTTCTGTCATTCTGTATGTCTAGAAGTTCCTTCCAGAATAGTTACTTCATCCTGGCATTTTCACTGCATCTAAAAAATAACACTCAGTGTGGATAATGGGTTGCGTCCAGGAAAAAAAAATACACTCAACCAAGTGAACAGCATCCACTCAAAAAAACCCCAGAAATATATATGTATATTTAGGCTATGAATTGAAAAAATAGTCTGCTTATGGAAAAAGATGTCAAAAGAGGAATATATTCTGCTACTGATGGGTGCAGCTAGAGACAGGAAGTCTGTGAAAGCATGACATTTTCTATTGCTTCTTATGTACATGTTTCCAGCTCTGACTCAATGACTTAATTCTTTGCCCTCATTCAATAGGAAACAACAAAACTTTCCTTTGACCACAGCAGGCTTTGGCTGAGACTGCTAGCAAAATTACAATGATATTTGAGGATTAACATAAATGTTGTGTTCAGATAGTTAACCTAATGGCCTTGAAAGGAAAATGATATTACAGTTATACACATTTATTACAAACAGTAATATTTTATTCTGCAATGTCAAGAATAGGCTCTGTCAGTGGCAGTTTACTACTCTGGTATTAAATCTTTCCTCATGGCAATGCTTTCAATCTCCTTGCTTTTCTGATTTTCTTTTTTTAATTACTAAAAGGGCTGATGATCAGTACAGATATAGAAAAAGCAAGATATAGTCTATGTCCTCTTAAGTCCAAACAATAAAATTGCATTTCAGTCCTGATCTCAGAATATCTGTTGCTATCAAAGCTAAGTTATGAACTGAAAAAATGTAGCTCAATTTTCAGATGCTGTGTTAAGTGCAGACCAGGCAGTTAGAAAATTTTATTCTGCTTTATAAATGGAGTGAATTTGATATGGAGTTCAGTGAAGAAGCATCAGAATGGAACACCAACGTGCTGGTTCCTTAGTAGAACAACATCCCTCAGGGTAGCAAGATGTATGTGAAAAAGTCTTGTCCAGCATCTGGTAACTGTTAGCACAGGAGTAGGTTCTGGTGGGCAGAATGCAGTGACATACTCATGTCCAGATCTCCTGAAAAACCTCAGTATGAGATGTGGAACAAAAGACTGAAAATGAAAGGGTTATATAAAACACTGCAATAAAAGTTGAGCTAGAGTTCACCATGGTCTAAGGCCTGATATTTTGCTTTTTTTTCCTTTATGCTCTATTTCTCCATAAATCATTTTAAATACTTGTTCTGAACCTAACCCTTTCCCATGCATTTCTTTCTTTCCTCAGTTTCTCCTATGAAACAAAAGGATGCTGTACTAGAACATCCATTCTTCTGCACAACCCAGCATATGTGGAGGCAGAATTCATGAGCTAGACCTCTTCAGATCTGGTTCAACATTTGAAATTCTGTGTGTTTGCAAGTTTGTGGTACTTGGTAGTTCTGACTTACTACATGGCACAAGAGCCACCTCTGTCCTTCTCACTTTGGAGCTCCCAGTTCACTTTGTCTCCCTGAAAGCAGCCTTGGCTGTTCTGTCTCTCACAGACCAGCACAGACCTGTTTTCTCTGAGCCATTCTCTGAGCCACTGTGAAACATGCTGCTTCACTTCATACACACTTCCAGAAATAAAGGCAGGAGAATCCTGATGTGGTGTTCTGATAGAGCATATGCACTTGATTCATCCTACTTTCTAAATCAAAAAATTGCAGGATTTTTTTTTTTTGCTATACAAAGGGAAGAGTATAGTCAATGGATTGACTAGATGACAGCCAGTTAGGGCAGCAAAGACAGACAAAAAAGAAAATGCACTCTCAGATTTTTCTTTAAATCTGCATTGAAAAGGGAACTGGGAGGTAGTTTCAGCAGAAGAGATGAAGACAGAGAAATGGCTTTAAGCTCAGTATAACAGTAGGCAAGGTAAAAGGTTAATTATTCCTTTGGTGGAAGTGATAGTCCTGAATTAATGGGAGTAACTTCATCTCCTCCCTGGAAGCAGTCCCTGGGTTCAGTCATTTTTCTGCTCCCCATGGCTCCAGTTACAGCACTGCTCTGTGCTCTCTGCTCAGCTTCCCACCAGCCCCAGGCTTCCCAAAGTGGAAGGAAGTCATTTCTGCTGAGTCCATCAGTAGGAAATGAAGAGTTTGGCATGGCTTTTTAGTTATAAAAAGTCTGAGTAAGAGAACCAACACATCTCTACAACTGCAGGACATCACAGCCTGGAGTATGGTAAGCTGTCAGAGCAAGGCCAAGAGAGGGACACTGGAAGAGGTTATATTCCCTCACAGAGACAGATTTAGGAACCAGGATGTAGCTGCATGCCTATTTCTCATAGTGAGTAAAACTAACATGGATCCCAAGAAAGGAGGCAGCAGCAGTGGGCAGCAGAGCTTGCAGGAGTTTGTAACACTTACCTTGTGACTCAGCTGTGGCTTTAACAGCCATTCCAAACAAACTGTGCTGGGCAACACTTGGTGCTGTGTCCAGGTGTGCCCCAGGTGTGTGTGTACCTACAGGAACTTTCCTCCTAATTTCAAAAAGTCATGGAAATTACAAGGCATCCTTTTCCACCTTGTTTCTAGAAGGCATAGTTCCTGATAAGAGGGCATGCTTTGGAGATAAGCAGTGTAACTCCAAATCTATTACTTCCAGTCTTTCAAAATCATGAGGATATGAACTACTGGAGACAGTGGAGGAATTGCTAGGAGAATTCTACAACAAAAGACTTCATTAGCCTTGAACTGTAAAAAACTCCAACACAGTCACCAGAGTCAGCCATGCTGCTGCTTTTGAGGTGACTGATAAGAAAAATGCTGACAATCTTGGAGGTAAATCTTTCTCCTGAGTGTCCCTGCATAAAGGATGTGAAGTTGCATAATAAGGCATTGACAATTCTTATTTTTATTATGAGGCCTTGCAATATTTGATGTTTGTTTATAGCCCAGCTCCCAGAATCAAGGGATTAGGTGAAGTTCTCTGTTTTAATTAAGGAACAAAGGTTTTCTTCAATTTTTCCACCCACTGTTGTGAGATGCTGGGAGGAAGCAAACATATCACTTTTCCTTCATGGTAATCATGAGATGCTCTGTGCTGACTTATTCAGACATGCTATTCAGTTTTATGCTAGGTGACATTCTGAGGACAATCTTTACACTTTGGAGATGTAACTCTGTATTATCTTCCTAAATAAAATATTAAATCAATATTATGTGAACCAGATTCATATGATAAATTATTAAATAATTTGGTAATTACATGACCATTTTTTCATGAGTTACATACTGAATTACAATTAAGACCTTCAGTGGTTTCAACATTTTTTACCTTTACCTAGTTTTTGGCAAGGTTCCCTGATGTTTAGGGGCTTTGCACAGCTTTTGAAGTGTGAGAGAATCAGTCTGCACAAACCCCAGCTTTAGAAAATCAGTTCTTTGCAGACTAAAATTCCAGAAAGTGTTTCCTAAAGTTATTATAAACACTAAATGCTTTTATTAACTCCTGATGAAGCTCATATTAGCTTGCCCTTGGATTTTAATGAAATGGGTGCCATCAGCATTGAGATGAAGAATCCATTCAGAAAAATCCTGTATTTTATTTGTTAGCATATTTGGCTTCTATTTGTGCTGAAATTAGCTGTGATTTGCAAATAATAGTTAGGTTAAGATTCATCCTTTTTCCTTACTTCTGAATAGCTAGAACAGCAAAGGTAATCCATTTTTCTTAATAATTGCTTCTGTGGAAAATCTTTGAAAAGACAGCTCAGCCAAGTTTCCTGAACACTGTAAGAAAACACTTGGATCACACTCTGAAAAGCCTTGAACTGTCCAGCGCAATAAAACTTGGGACTGCATTTCATGGTGCCCATAAAACCTGCTCCAAAGCCTCCTAAAAAATGTCTCAGAACAATTCAGAAAATGTTTGATTCAAATTACAAGAACTGGGTGATTTAAGAGGCAGAAGTAAGGTCACTGTCATCCCTGATGACATATACCCTATGTATAATCGAATAATGAGTTAAAAGCTACTAAATGAAGCCCATCCAGGCGGATTTCCAGAGCAGCGCCCGTGCTGGGGAATGCATTTCCCGCTGGCAGCGGAGCTCAGCCTGTGCCTGCTGGCACCAGAGGGTGCTCTCCCACCATTTGTCAGTGGCTGCTTGAGTGCAAGCAAGGTCTGGTTCTTAAAAAGACGCGCGGTTCTACTGGCAGTTCTGGATTACGCCAGAATCCCCTGTTTAAAAGCAGTCTGAAGATGGAGGGAGTGGTAATGAATGGTAGCAAAGTTTGCTTTTCATTTAGGGTTAAATTGCAGTCAGGCTAAAATTCCTAAAAACATTGCTTAGTGGGGCTGTTTCATTTCAAAATGCACACATGTATAAATCACTGATGTTAAACTGGATGTCTGTTTCAGAATCTCTGCTGGTCAGAGTGACTCTGAGATATGTACAAGCTTCTTTTCCCAGCCCAGCCGTCGAAGGAGGAGTCAGAATTTTTCTGTTCTCGTCCTCAAGGTTGTTTATTATTTCTTATATATAACATTCTTTCTCTGACCCGATGCAGGTCTGTCTGGGTTGAGGCACATTGCTTCTCTTTAGGGCAGTGTTGTCTTTTTATACAAAAAACTACGTGTACACTATTTACAATAACTTCTCAATATTTATCACCTATGTTAGACAGTGACTTCTACTTTAAACTAATCTAAAAATGCTAACAACACTTAGAAGATGGAGGCTAGGAAGAAGAAGGAAAAAGGACAAGGCATGCTCATTCTTCTATCTTGGGACTTTGAGCCCCCATTCTAAAAACTTCAAAATCTATTTTCCACCTTGTGACAAACTAACTGTTATTCTACTTAAACTTTCTTGACTTGTAATTCTTCATATAAAGGTTGGTAATAGTTTTTTCTAAGGGCTAAATCACAGGCACAGGGGTCTTGGGCTCTGTGCTAAGGTCTCCGAGCCCCCTGGCAGGGTTTTGAGTCTTCTAGGGCAGCCAGAGGAATTTCTTGGGTTCTGACATGTATCTAGATGGTACACAGCCTTTTTTTTCCTGCAGGCTATTTTCCTTTTTGCTTAACTCTGTCCAAGGTTACACTCACAGTGCTCACCTCAAATCTCTACAGTTCTGTCTTTTTTATCTCTACATCACTGATATTTTATCTTGCTTCTCTCATCTGCCTTTTCAATTCTCTTTCAAAAAATCAACATGGAAGAAGAAAAGCTAAAAAAACTCCTCCATCTTAGATCATCATTCTCTTGGGAGTGAGGTGTACCTGTGAGAAGTCTGTTACTGTTTCAGACTCTCTCACTCCATTGGGAAATTAACTGTTCATTCTTACAACTATTTTAAGTGAAGGATGTGTCATAGTATTATGGCATGTAGAAGGTAAAGTCTAAATCTATATATTTTGCCTAAGAATGCCACAGTGAAAATATACACCTCTCTGCCCCTTTGTAAGCATTTGTAAATCAGTAATCCAACAACCTGTAGTCTCTTATTCTTTGAACTTCAAGTAAATCTTACAAGTGATTCTGTTTGGAGAAGTTTTACCTTTCACAAATATATTATAAGTTCCTGGGTACTTGGTTTTCCAACAATTCCGTATCAGATTTGCTCAGTCTAAATATAAAAATGAAGGATAACATTTCTTCACAGAGCTGTGATCTGAAATTTAATATCCTGGCTCAAATCAAGGAGTCTGTGATGCATTTACAGTGCAAAGGTTCTCATTTTGTTTGTTCCTTCTCAGGCCGAGGCTCAGTGAATCAGATTTAATTAGTTGTTCCATGGATGATATGTGAGTTAGAAAGACCCACTTCATTCTCCTGGAGATTAATTTATTTTGAGCACAACAGCTACAGATGACCTGTGACTTTCAGAAAAGTTGTGCAAAGGCACTGTCCCAAACAAACCTCTCAGTGGGTGAGTGCTCTGTGTCAAGGTGTGCTGTGCCTGTCCTTGCCTGGACTTTGCAGTGTGCACTCATAAAGAAACTGAGAAACTCCTCAGCAGCCTGGTTTTCAAAGAGAAAACCCAGCCTCTCAAGAATTGAAATAGCCAAAATGATTGGCTACTTGCATATGGTGACTATAGTCTTTGAGTCATGCGATCAAAATCATTGCAGAAAGAGAAGTCTGATAAAAACTTTATATTCATCACATACTTAGTTATAATGTTCTCATTACTCTCCAGGCAGACTTCTAGATCTGCCATAGATGAAATTGTAGAGAGGAGTGGCCACCAATTCTGTCAAGTTCTGTCATGTAGACCATGAGGGAGCTGTGATTTTTTTCTTACTAGAATCTCAATATTTCCACTATCAGATTACCTTTTCCTCTACAAATTACACAGGCCACAAAGTCTTTCCTCTTCCAACTAAGTGAGCTAAAAATGTTTGTGTTCATATTGCCAATCTTACAAAACAATATTAAAAATGACACCAACACAATTTTCAAGAAAAAGATGTCTGCCTGTATGTTTTAAACTATTAAGTGCTGAAAAACAGGAATTGTTCAGAGACTGAACAGGACCTTGGCTGGACTGGACCTTCTAAATGTCACTCATGGGTACAACAGTGAGCATGTTTAAAACTCCACTATTTCCTGTTATATGTGAGTGCTGAAAGGGCACAGTACCTTGTAAAGAATATCAGCTGCTCTGATGGGATGCAATGGTCTGCTGCAGCCCCTTACTCAGTGGCCACTGTAACAGCTCTGTGACTTTTTCATTTCACAGTGCACAGTCTGACTTTCACTGAGGATAATTGGGAATTTGCAATTGCCCACTGAATGGCTCTCTATGCCTACTACATCTCAGGAAAGAGATGAAGGGGAACTGAGCAACTGTAAGGAGATGGGATACAACCAAGACAACAAATTAAAAGAGCAAATGCATGCAGAGGAAGATACTTGTGCTGTTACCACAGTACTGCTGATTCCAGAAACCTGGATGAAAACCTTTATCACAGGAATCATTTCATTAGGGATCAGGGTGGAAGTGATCTCTGTGCTGGGGCTGCCAGGCAACAAAATGAGTTGAAAAAAGAGCCCACCCAAGATATGAGCCCCAGAAAACAGTGCAAAATCTGATACTGAGTTTGGAAGGCTTGGGCTTAGTTCCCTACAAGTGGCTTCAGCTTCTCCTGTAAGAAGGAATCCAACTGGAAAGATGCAGCCATGGCAGTACCAAGGTCCATGGCCTGATGCAACCACTGAGATCCTGTCCATTTACTCCAAGATCTGTCCATGACACTTTGTTTTATGGTATCTGTAAAAAAAACATTGCACCCTCACAAGAAATGCTGTACAAAGGAGCATTGCACAGGAAGTTATACATACTTTATTTTATCTATCATGCAAAATGGAAATAAATCTCTTTTAGGCCTTCTCAGAATAGAGAACATTGGAAAGTTACTTAAATTACTTTATCTAGCTGTGTATGCTCTACAAACAGTGGAGCCCTTGCTGTTGCTGTTACAACTCCATCTCATGTTTTTATTTTTATTAGAAGAAGAAACAAATATGTGCTGAAAGTGAGATCTACTGCTACATTTTCAGCGGTGACTGAGTTTAATGTTGTCACAAGTCCAGGCTGAGCAGCAAAATGAATCACATGGCTATACAAAAAATGAGGAAGCTTTTTAGCTCAGCTTTGTGGGATCAAGATTAATGAAAAAGAAAGATCAAGACAGGATTGCTGAAAGCAGCTGCACCAAGAACCAGAGCTCACTTACCTTCACAGATCAAAATAAAGAAGGGAAAGGGAAAACTAAGCCTAAATTGAAACTGCTAGAGATTTGCAAGCACAAAATTGAAAAATTTGAAGGAAAGGAGGTTTTTCTTTTTTAGATGGTATACCCCTCTTGGGACTCCTTTTAAAACTAATTGATATTTAGAAGATTGATTATCCAAATGTCATAGGAGACAGCAGCTCTGTCTGGGTAACCGAGTGAATTTGCATCACAATTAGGTGTTGGAAAGCAGTGCTTTTGCAAAGTATTTTATTGAGGTTTAAGTGATCCAAGATGACTTGTAACGACCATAGATTGTTGTATTTTCATGCCTTACTCTTTTCTTTCCTAACTACATACCAGATGAAGGAAAATTCCAGCCTATAAAGGAGAAAAATGTTTCCAGTCTTTATTGTCTCATAGACATAAAGCAAATTAAAAGAACCTATTAGATTTCTGTAAGTACATCATTTCAAGCCAGCTTTGTGATTTTGGGGGCCAGCTGCATGAGTTATAAAGTTGATAGCAGTTAATTAGCCCTGTCTCCCTCCTTTGCCTTACTGTCCTTTAAAAAGTCAGACAAACAGCTCCATTTCCCAGGGTAGGTTAGTTCCCTCCCTTGTCTGATACTCACTTACTACTTAAGCCCCTAGTTTGGCTTTTTATTCATCATTTTTGTTTATTTCTGCACTTGCTGCTGTGTCTGAAGGTCATCTACATCCCTCCCTAACACTCTCCTGTTTCAACCCTTCTCTTTGCTTTTTGTGGGCTTCAGTCTTCCTCTGCATGGCAGTCAAATTAGAGCCATACAGTTCTCTGTGAGGAGAAGACGGACAAAACACAGAAAGCCCATATTGCTGTGGTGACCACATTAACCTCTGGGGCTGTGGAACAAAGTTCTGAAACCCTGTTAACAATGTGGCCTGTGGTTACACCACTACGTGGCCTGAGCTGGTCTGGCCTATTTTTGCTATTATTAATTATTATTAGTATGGCCTAATTTAGCTATTTTTATTCATTTATTTATTTTGATCACTCAGTCAGAGCAGCAGTCATAATGGACTGGCTCATGTATGCTCTGCTGCCCTCCAAAGGATGGGAATGCTGCACTCCTGTTCCTTGAGATGCTTCCAGCCACAGCTGAGTGCAAGGTTATTTTTTTTTTTTTTTTATATTCTGTGTGTGGCAAAGAGTCTGGAAACAGAATACCTGTGATAGACTTGAAAAGACACACTTGTCAGGTATTTCCTAAGCCATCACCAAGAATGCTACCCAATAAATACTGCCATGGTTTGCTATCTAGCTGTTCAGCCCATCCAATCCCTGTGCATTGGTGTGATTTTATTCATGAATAAAGCCACCATCCCTGGAAGTGTTTAAGGAAAGCCTGGAAATGTCTCTTGATGCCAAGATCCAGTTGACATGGTGGTGCTCGATGTTGGACCTGCTGATCTCAGAGGTCTTTTCCAACCTAATGGATTCAGTGATTCTCTGATCTGTGTGCAGGGGAGAAAAAACAGAATTAAACCCCACTTCAGCTCTTAGGTCACCAAAGGAAACACGGCTGGCAATGAAGAAGTGTCAGCGCCCAGCGGAGCATGAGCGGCCGTGAGGCGTCTCGCAGTCACAGCACTCAGTAACTTGTCCTCCATGCTGGCGGGAGGCCTCCGGACCCCTTGCAAAAGGAAAAAAAAAGGAGATGAGAGCGGCGGGCGAAGGGCAGCGCCGCACAAGGGAAGCGCCCGGGGCGGGCGGGGAGGAGCCGCGCTCTGAGGGGCCGCCGACGTGGGGGCACCCGGGGGCGCCCCCAAGGGCGCAGCCCGCGGGCGGGGCTGCGGCCGTTGCGCTCCGCGCAGCCAGTCAGTCACATGAGCCGCCGCCCTCCTTCCCCTGCACCCCTCGGCCGCGAATGGCACGGCCCGGATGCGCTTGTACGCAAGGAGGGTGCGGGCGAACCATTGAGCGGGGGCGGGGGAACCCGGCAGCCGCCGGCCGGGAACACCCCTTCGCCGGGGCGCTGCGGCGGCGGGGAGCGGACGTGACAGCGGCGCGGCCGGCGGCGGAGCGCGATGGGGGTCCCGCGGGGACAGGAGCGCCAGGCCCCGCAGGAGGTACCAGAGCCGCGTCTCTCCCAGCCCCCCGTCCCCCGGGCGCTGCCGAGGCCCCGCTGCACCGGCGTCCCCGGGATCCCCGCCCGCTCCTGCCCCGGTTCCCGGCCCTGGCCGGCAGCGCGGGGGTCGGTGCCGCTCAGCGCGCAGGGCGCGGGGGACGCGGAGGCCTGTGGGGCTGCTGGCAGCGCTGTGCGGTCACTTTCGGTGCTCCATCGCCTCCCGTGTGCCCGCTGCAAGCCCGGCTGGCCGGGTTCCCGTGAGAGGCAGCGGGGAGGAGGAGGGTGCCCAGAGGGGTGGAGGCGGGCAGGTGGGGCCGTGCAGCCCTCGGGCACACCTGGAGCCCTGTGAGCGGCTCTCCGGCCTAGGGCCGAGCTGCCGGGAGCTCTGTGCTTCTGGGAAATCGCGTGTATCCCCGGAGCTGGGGGGTTCCATCCTCTAAGGGGGGGGGACAAAAGCCCTGGGATGGGCTGGCTGTGCTGGTGAGGCTTCGGAGCACCGGGACTGTCTGGGCTGCCTGTCACAGTTCACTTTTGTGACTGCCCTGCTTTGAAATTGCATTGCCCAAAAAGTGGAATTCCGTGTGAGCGTCTCCTCCCGGTTTTGTAGAGGGATTAGAAAAGCGTGTCCTGGTTTCGGCTGGGACAGAGGTTAAATTGAAGTGTGTGAGTTTATGAAGCCTGAAATTGAAAGAAATGTGTGAAATGGAGAATAAGTTAACTGGCTTATGGCAATAGGACAATCTTAGTAGCTAGGGGCAGGCAGTGGACCAGGAGTTTGAACAGCAAAAGCAGATTAAAGTATTTAACTGGGTGAAAATATTTCTAAATGGACTTAACATCACATGTGCTACCTGTTTCTTCAATGTCTTTCAAATTAACAACCAGGTTGCTAATGTAAGGCAGGTTTACCCTGATATGTGATCTGTGCCAAGGCTCGGAAAATGCTCACTCTTCAAATGAATGAGAAAAACTGAATTAGTGTTTTGTTGTTTGTTTGTCAGGTGGAAACAAGAGAAGATGAGGAACAAAACATCAAGTTGACTGAAATCTTGGAGCTGTTGGTGGCTGCTGGGTATTTTCGAGCAAGAATCAAGGGGTTATCACCCTTTGACAAGGTGAGGCCATTACAATATTTTAAACGCTTCTTTTAAGTATAAGAGGCTTATACGTTTTGCTGGTTTGCTTAGCAATTCTTTATAAGACAGTTGCAACTTATGAGGCTTCTCTGTGTGAATAATTCTGCAAATGACCTAGTTTCAGACAGACAGGACCTCTTCAGTCTTGAAAGACAATTTTGTGCAGAAAGGCCTGTTTTAAAGGTGAAAATTGGATGCAAACTTACTGCTGTCTGCTTTTTTTGGGTGCTATGGCCTATGCTGGAGTTGTGTGCAGGGAATTTTCCTCTCTCTCCCAACAGCAGTTAAAATAGGTAATCTTTGGATACTTGGAGTCTTTGGATACTTGGAGATAGCATGGTAATTTTTAAAACAGCATTGATGAGAAATGAGGAAGTGTCTGTGTAAGAAAGGAACAGTTAGCCTGGTGAGATTATTTTGGGGCTGTTTTTGCATATCTTTAGAATGTCATATTTGTTAACCTTTCATTGTTGTAGACAGGAAATGTGTGATGCTGACAGTGAGCAAAGTTCAGGTTGAAGAGAGATTTCTGATTTGCTGTAATGCAGACTCTGTGAGAAATTCCTGAACCAAGGTTTAAAAACACAGAACTACAGCAGCTTTGAAAGGGATTCTTCTGTTTTCTGCTCTCTCTTTGATCATAGCACAGCCTCACTTTGCAATGCAATTTTATTTTATTCAAACTCTTTGGTATTGCTAACAGTCGCTGCTCAGGAGTCTGTGCTTTCAGACAGAGAAATTTCAAGGAGACTGCTTTGGATGTAACATTGTTGCATTTGTGTGTAGAAATCACTTACAGGTACTTAAATACAATTGCAAAGTTACCATTTCATGACAGTTCCCAACCTCACCAAAATGAGCCTTGCTACTGAAAATGATCACACTGCTAATGCAAAAGGGATATATGGGTTATCATAGAGGGGAGTGTGAGAGGGGAATTTGTCAGAAACCTTGTTAGAAACCAAGCTTCCTAATCTGCTGTGTGATAATGGCAAGTAATTCCACATTTTAATCCCTTTTTCTCTTCTTTGTCTTTGCACACATTTAGATTATTTTGCACATATTTATGCAAGGCTGTCTTTAAATGTTTCTGTAAAGTTGATGAAACAGCTCAGGAGTTTAAATATGCCCATGTCAGAATAGGGCCTGAAATACAGATTTCTGCAGAGCTGGGGATTTCCTGTGTGCTGATGCTGTGTCTAGCACTTTGTGTTGCATGTGTCAGCAAGCAAGAAATAATAGTAGCAAAGATGTATATAAAAAGGTAAATATAAGACTGCAGTAATTATGATCCTTGATAAAACTTTGATATAGTCCCTTTTTGGAGGTTGTGACATTTAACATACTGTTGTGTTTTATCCTTTTGGTTGGTTGGTTTTCTTTTTTCAATCTGAGAGCTGTTCCAAAACTAATATATAAAGCTAAGAGAGGAATTTAGGTTGTCAATAACTGCTGGGTTGGTTTTTGTCTTCTTGTACACATGTGCTAGTGTATAGTACACAAGCGTACATGTGTATAGTATTGTATGAAGTTGGTGTGGTTGTGTTATCTGAGTCTGTCTCAGAGCAGAGAGGATACTGAGGAGGGTGAGATTACTGAGATGTAGTTTCTAAAATAAATGAAGCCTGGAAGATGCATTTGGGTTTACCTGTTCAGTTTAGAATGGCCCTGACCATGCTGTTGCTCCTTTGCCAGGTGGTGGGAGGCATGACGTGGTGTATCACTACCTGCAGCTTTGACATTGACGTGGATTTGTTATTTCAGGAAAACTCTACTATTGGTCAAAAAATGTAAGTTGATTAAATGGCAAGTGGGGGATTTTTCTTCTTTTTCTTAGAAAATAAAACGTGGGTGGGGAGGGGGATGTTACCTGCTGTGTTTCTAAGGAAGAGTTTTAGTTCAGATTTCCTGCTTTTGAGGACTGCCTGTTTACAAAAGGCACAGGTTTCTGGGTTTCTCAGACTGTAGTTCCACAAAGTCTAAATCCAGAAAGAAGCTTATTTCAAACCAGGCAGGGCCATTCCATTTGGGCTGCCATGCTCTTATATCCCTACTAAGCACTGAAAGCATTTATGTGGCTCCACACTGAACTGAATCGGGAACGGATCCAAATTAAAACCTACCAAAAAAACCCTGAAAAACCAAAACCCAAAAGAAAAAAAAAAGAAAATAGTTTTAACATGAATGAATTCCTGGATCCAGTTCTCTGTGCAGCTGTACGGATGCTTGTGCTGGCACAAGGGGGTGATGCAGAGGCCAAAGCAAAGGGCAGAGGGAGACCACGCTGCTGGAAGCTGCAGTGCAACATTAGAAGGCCTTCCCTGAGCTCCCTGTGTCTGCAGTTCTGCTGTGTAAATAACCCTGACTCCCTTTTATGGTTCTGGGTTAGAATTGTAGCATCAGCAAACAGAATTTAAAGCATGTCACTGTTGCCAAAATAGGTATCTGCCCCATGCTGAGGAGGAGGATTTCCTTCCTCAGGGTGACCCAGTGAGAACATTCTGTTTTGATTCATTTCTTATGCATGGAATTTGCTCATAAGCCAGCTAATTCCAGTGCCAGAGAGCTTATAGACATTGTTTATGCTGGGAAAGGGAACACATTCTAAACTCCATTATTTCTTTATTTATATTTGATAAAAGAGGCATAATTAAAATTTGCAGGAAATAAGTTTAGCCTGATAAGTTACAGTGGCTTATTAAGAGACTTATTTACTTAGTGTAGTTAAAAAGAACATCTTGCTGTGTTTTCTTGAAAATCATAGAGAATTGGCAAGAGTTTTCAAAATAAATATTTGTGGGTATTGCAATTGGAGGCACTCAAAGATATAGATACCTAACTACATAGATAACTAACTACATCATAGATAACTGAGTACATAAAGCATTGCTGAGTGCAAAGAATTAAGTAGAGACTAGGAATGAAAATGGTAGTGGTAGTTTTTTGTCTTTGCTATCCTTAAAACCAGCATGGTCGGAGCTGGTTAAGTCGTTCTCAAAATGTTCTGCTATTTTTCCAGCTGACTGGATGCAAAACTGGCAAAACAAAAATCAGTCTCCTCTCCCAAAACAGCAGCAATGATTTATTTGTAAATCTAAAAGTGTTCAGAACATAGGAGCATAGGCTGTTTTGATGTCCATGTAATGTTTGTGTTGGTAGAGGCTCAGGGCTTCCGTGGTGTTTTCAAGATAAAGCAAAGTTAAACTGTGTTTTCTCAGTATAACTCCAAAGGGATGGTGTTACACCATTGTGATGGTGTCCTGTTATTTAATTGCTGGGCTCAAATAAACATGGAAGCATACATTAGGATAAATAGTTTTTTTTGTTTTAATTGCATTTGCTTTGATTGTGCTTCACTTCCCTTTAGGAAGTAAAATGTTTCAGGCTCTAGTCCCAGATTTTGGTCACTGTCTCATATCTCTTGATCCCCTTTTGTTCTTCCAGGACCTTAGTTGTCCATTTGGACAGTGCTAAATATCAGTGAGGTCAGTACTGGAGCAGTTAATTTTTTGTCCTTCATGGGGAAATAGCTTTGCTTTTCCAAGTAAAGTTCTCATCCTCAGTGGTTACACCTGCTTTAAAAATGTACTTGCCAACATTGACAGCAAAAAAAATTCTTGCCTAAAAATTAGGTGTTCAGTGGAAACAGGATGAATTTCTTACAGATGGATCCCTTGTGGCAGGGTAATCCTTTCACTTAACCAGCTCTCACTGAGCTCTAGAATGAGATTGCTGCCAGCAAATTCAATTTTAGTCGCTTAAAAATATGTGAAGTGCACTGTGTATTTAGCTTCTAAGTGCAGTATCTATTTAAATTCAGAAAGTTTCAGGTGTAACATCAATATTTATTTTGAGAGTTCTGCTAAATAAAGTTTTAAGTCCTTACATTTGTTTCTGGACTTCCTTGGAGTGTACATCTCTTACTTAATGTAACTGTTCTTAAAGCTGCTGTTTATTCATGTTGGGTGTACCCTATAACATGTAAAGGTGTTTGTGGTGGTGTATTTTATATGGGTGTTTTATCTGTCCAGAAATGCAGATTTTGAAATTTTCTGTAGTAGTTAAATGAATTTCCAAAGTAGGAGCCTGTAAGTGGGGCTTAATCACCTCTTCACAGACTGATGATATAAATAGTGCCTGTAAAAGCTGTTTTGGAAATGAGTTGGATTGCTTTTCATATAGTGGAAGTTACTAGAGGGAATCTTTGCACTACTGTGTTTTCAAAAATAATCTGTAATTTACAAAAGAAAATTGTGGCATATATACATCTGTCTTTTTGTTGTTTTTATAATAGTGCCTTAACTGAAAAAATCGTGTCAGTATTACCAAAAATGAAGTGTCCGCATCGTTTGGAACCACATCAGATCCAGGGACTGGATTTCATTCACATATTTCCTGTTGTACAGGTAGTAATTTCATGCTGTATTGATACTTTGCTGAAAAATTCATAAAACTTGCATAAAAAATAGAACAAAGCTTTGAATTATTGTTTGGCTCTTTATTTAACTTTGGAATAAGTAAGCAGAGAGAAGTCATTTGTCTTGATGTTTTTAAAGAATGAAGTGACATTATGGAAAGAATTTTTAAGTATTGTTTTATCCACATTTAGAAAATAAACAAAACAAACTCTCTGAATTCTTTGCAGTGGAGTCAGATTGTGCCTATTGTGGAATGCCTGCTGAAAGGAACCTGAATTTAATCTTGTTGTGGAATCTGATAGTCTGCTTTGGCAGATTAGGAAATAAAACAAATGCCTTCCAGTCTCTGTTTAACTTATGGAGTAAGTTATGCAGATAAACCTTGAATCAGAAGGATATGAATAAGGCAGAAGTCATTGGGGTCATTTCTTTAAGCATAATTTATCTTTATTTCCTATCACTTCCTATCACTGTGCTCTGACAAGTGATCCTCTTACTGTGTATTTGCTGAGCACCACTGACTCACCATGTGCTTCATTCTCAAGTTTATTAAGATTTAAGCTAACACTTGATGTGTTCCAGTTACATGTGGTATTTTGAGAATCCTTGGCATTTTTTGATTTTCCTTTCATCTACACACAGAAAGGTATCTTAGATAGGGAAAATGAAGACTGTTAAGCAAGCTTCTTTTCCATTAAATATCTCCTTACCGCGTGCCTGTGATGGAATTTAGCAAGTAAGAAGAATCTAAATTTCAATCTGTAAGAAGTGGGGAAAACTTTCTGGTACTCTTTCCTCTTCTAGTTGGAAGCTCCTGAGGAAAACCACACTTAACTGCACTCCCCACAAAACATTCTGTGGTGTGTCTGCTCTTACACAGCTTTCAGGCTGTGGAAAATTTGTATCTTGCTAATGTGTGTTTTTGCTTCTGAACCCTTATTTCCTATACAGAAGAAAAAAAAAAATCAACCCAGGTGAGTTTCTTGCCCTAGTCACTGGATGGCAATGAATGGTTACATTTATCAAACACTAGGCTTCTTTCATAGGATATATATTCCTCCTCCTGTAAAAACAATAGCACTAGGTGTTCTTTTCTGTCACCTGTTTTATCACAAATCCTGGTGTGGGATATTGCTTCTGGAAAGGAGAAACATAAATTCTAAACAGGGAGGAAATCTGCTTCTGGGTTTCTCTGAGGGCAGTGACTCCCAGTATTTGTAGCTGGCCAGTAGGTGGTAGAGCTGACCCATACAAGTCTTTTTTGGGATGTAGAGGATCTTGGTTTAAAAATTATGGCTTTCTGTCAGCTCCCTGTGAAGTTCTGCCTGCTCCACATAATCTAGGTTCCTCATTTCATCCCAGCCAAGACAGACTTTCAGGAAAACTTTTTGGTGTCACCAGAATACTGTTCTGAAAAAGACCATGCAAAATATGAAACGCTGACTACACCATGTAAGAATTATGTATTTGGTAATGGCACTTTATTCAATGCCCTGGTAAAATCACGATTCCACTTTATCTGTAAATCTCAAATCAGTTTTCAAATAGTACAAATGCTTGCTCTAAAGTCTGGCATTGTGTCCCATTAGCTCTTGCACTGTCCATGAATTTAGGTGGATCCTTCCCTACAGGAAGAAATTAGGCTGAGTTGACTCACTGCCATAAACTGTAGCAGAACTTTAAAAAAATATTAAAAAATCTTACAATTACTCCATTGGGCAGAAATGTCATTGTACTTCCTAATAAATTCTGCATATGATCACAGGCAAAAGTATGTACAGTCTTGTGTTGAGATGTTCTTGGTAATTAATATTCTTCATTTTCATCTCTTGTTGTCATCATGTTCCCCTCACTTTCCAGGGGTTCATGGTTTATAGCACAGGAAACAGTTGTTGGTTCAAACTTGAATCCCACAACTGATCTCATCTCTTCTGTGACCTCCTGCACAGGCTGTCAACAGTCTGCAAGATTTATCTTCTCCAACATTGTTTAAAATGTACTTCAGGATTTTGTGGCTTTTTGTGTGGTCTTATAAATGTCAGAAGAAGCCTTTTTTCTTGCACAGGCATGTGGTTCTTCATGAGCACTTCATAGGCTTGAAGATCTGTCTGTTCATGGTGGAGCTGTAGTCTTTTAAACCAGTGAGTGATCTACAGTAGGAGAATGTCATACAAGAAACATATGCACAAAAGAAAAAGAAATGTTTGTAAAGTCACAAATACTGACACTTTTTGTTAGGGTTAGGCCAAAGAGTTGCCATGTTTACAAATAAATCACATGCTCTTGTTTCCATGCTTAAAAATGTGCTTTTAGCTTTTATCATGTATTAAAAAATAAGGCAGCAGTTTGGTGCTTGCTGCTATTATTCTTTTGTTTTCAGCTGATACCATTTTCTTTTCAGTGGCTGGTGAAACGTGCAATAGAAACAAGGGAAGAAATGGGAGATTATGTCCGTTCTTACTCAATATCACAGTTTCAGAAAACTCACAGGCTGCCAGAGGTAAGATTGAGGCAGTTCTTGTTTCTGTTATATGTCAGATGTTCAGCTGCAGTACCATCCTCACAGCTCTGAAATCTGCACACTTCACCAGAGTGAAGTGCCATTGTTTTGTCAGTGTTAGAGGAATCCCCTACAAATTTATCTGGGAAAAAAATTGAAGCATTATTGTGACAGAAATTTTGTAGATTCTGGTTAAGTTTTGCCTAATGATTGCCTTAGTTTTTCTGCAGTATTTGGTATTTTTGTATCTCTGTGTTCAGAAGCACCCAGCATGCTGTGGAGAACCTAATGTAGTTAATTGAGAATGAATATGGTGTTAATACTCTATAATTTGGGGTTTCTTTCAGAGTGTTGAAAGGCAGCTCTTGTCTTCCTGTATCCAAACCCCAAAATTTGCTTCTGAAAACTAGATTTGTAAAAAACTTCATTCAGTAACTGAACTGTTCTTCAGCAATGAGATGAAGTTTCCTTCATAGAGGAGGAGAGATTGAATGAGCTTGGATATGTGCCTGTAGTGCAAAGCCATCAGTTCTGTTCTTACATATCACAAGGGCAATTTCATTTTTAACATTTAGAACCTAAGTTTTGTCCCTTTGTAATAGGATTAAAGATAGATGTCCCTAGTATTGGGATAGACAGATGTAATTAACTTGGCATGCTTTCAATTTTGATTTTTTTTTAATAATTATCTTTAATGCTTAGAAACTAAACAGTAGAGGAGACTTCTCTTTTTCACATCAAGTCTATCCCAGTTCATTTCTTAATAGTGTATTAAAGATTGAAGATCCCAGTAGTGGGCTGGGGCTGCTTTTGTGTCAGGCTGCTGGTCTGGACACAGTTTTGATGACCTATCTCCCATCTGAAGGCAGAAGCAAGTACTTTTCTTGTTACAGCAAATCACTAACATTTCACCAAATCACTGGGCAACTCAGAAACTGTTTGACAGCTTTGTTTCACAGAATCATTAGAATGTTGGAGATTTAGTATCCATTCCTGGTGTTTTAATTACTTCCATTAATGTTTTTCAGGATGATGAATTCATGCAAAGAAAAGAGAAGGCACTCAAAACAGTTACTGATATCTTTGTAAGTATGTTAGATTTCTTTTTTTTATGGCCAAGTGTGTGTTTTTAGTAATGAAATGGATGTGGTTAATTCTGGTTTAATTGGGTTTTCTCATGAGAAGATCCCAATTAAGTTACATGTTGATCATCATTGAGACAGGTCTCAAATGCCAATATATCACATGGATAGGTGGGCACTGTATGAGGGGATAAACCACATCCACTGCCTGCATGGGCTGTGTGGAATCCCACACTATCAAACAAAACTCACAGGGCAGCCTTCAGACTGTTAAACCCTCAGCAGACTTAAATGTGTGTTTGAAGCTATCAGCAGTTGTGCTATTTGCCTTGAAATTGGTTAATATGGTGATGATCTCAATTATCTGCATTTCAGAACTTGACTTTTTCACTTCTTGTAATTAGCAATGGAAGTAAACACCTTGCTTCAGAAATGCTTTCTTCAAGTAGCAGATGTTGGTTGGGAAAGGTGGTCTCACCTGTGTTCTCCTTTTTCACATGCAAATCTCCTAACTCTTGGATAAACTGTTTGTGTATATTTTTGGAAGCTTGTTCATGAATGCTACAGAGAGGTAAAATAGTAAAACACCTGGGCTCTCTCACTCTCATACCTGAATTCAGATGTCTGGCTGCCAACTGCAGTTTCTGTCCTTGCTTTCTAATTTCCCTCTTACTTGGGACTATCAATTCACCATTCTGACTCACAGTAGTTCACTACTGCTTTGGGGGTTTTTGGACCATCTTGATAAATTCCAGGGCAGCATTTGACAAGAGAGGAGAAATCTGGTTTTGCTTTGAATGGCACATTTTCAAGGCTCTTCAATAAATAGTGAAACCCTGCTCTCCTGAGAAAATCCCTGTTTTTCAGACAGCTCTAGCCAGGCACCCTGAGCTCTCCATTCATAGATGGAGGTGCTCAGTGCTGGTGTAAGGAGCCACATGAGAGGCTGTGTAATGGGCCAGACAAGTCACCTTACTCTTTTGGCAGGTTTTGGAGGGAGGTAGTTGTTTTTCTGTACAAAGGACCTGAGTGTAATATATGTGGTTGAATTACAGCATGTGTTTGTAGAATAACATTGCAATGAAAGTCTCCAGGTGATGACCAATGTAGCTCCTTTGTTAATCTATTTGAATAATTGTCCTTGCTTTGGAAATTTCAATTACAGTTTCTAAAGTGCTGTTCCTCATGTTTTGATTGGGTTTTTTAATTATTAGCAGACTTACAATGAGTCTTTTACTCCAGCTAGAAGCACTTGCCTTTCCAGTGAGCCATGTATTCTGTTTTACATGTTAGTTTACCCTCTATCAATTTGTTCTTGTTTGAAATCTCCACTTTGGTGTCACATCTTTGAAAAAGATGGAAAGCCATTTCAGCAGTGTTATGGTGCAGGAATTGTTTGTTGAAAATAATAGTTTGTGTGGTATGGAAAGCCAGATTTAAAAAGAAATGTTCTCCCTTCTGTTTTTAAATTGGAAGCAGCTCTATCAGTACAAAATATTAATTGTGAATTCTTGTTTTATTTGATGGGCTGTTGTTGAGCTAATGGATCACACTTGGATGGCAGGAGATTGAAGTCATTTTACTACCAAACTTCTTGAGACTTTTTCACTGTCTTGCAGGAGGTTTACAAACCCCAGAGAAAATACAAACGTCAGACAGGAGCTGAGGAGCTGCTGGATGAGGAATCAAAGGTTCATGCCACACTTCTGGAATATGGCAGGTGAAAGGCTTCATTTAGCTCTCTCTTGATTTTATTGTGTTTTTTATAAAAACAGCTTAAATACATCATCCTTCCAGATAGTGTGTCAATCAATATTAGGTATTTGCAAGCAATCCACTGAAAATTTGGTGAAAAAGGACCTGCAGTTGCTGTTGCTTCTTTTTCTCATTCTCACGTGGCTGCTGCATCAGGAGGCTGAATCATGGTTGAATGTTTTGTCTTCTCACTTTGCTGCAAACTTTCATTCAGAGACAAAGTTACCAAGGCTTTCCGTTTTCTATTATCTCTGAAAGTCCCTCTGGTTTACTGAGAGCTCTCCAAACACATAAAAATGAAGTTACAGAGCTTCTGTTTCTAGTTTCTATTTCCAGTTTTCCTTTCACAATTTAGTGGTAAGGACATCTTGTCTGCTGTCTGAGCTCTTAATACTTAACAAGTGCAGATTACATCTGAATTCCATTTTGTATCTTCTGGGGCTTCTTTTCCCCCATAGCCATAGATTTTTTGATTTTTTTGTCTCACTGTTTTGAGTACTTTCCTTTTAACAGTAACCTGGAGTGTAGTGTAATAGCTCAGGATTAACTTTCAAATGTGAAGAGAGCATTGCCTTTTCCTCTCATGAGCTTTACATGATAATTTTTTATGGAAAGTCAAGATTTGCAAATCTTGATGGGATATGGAATATCAAGATAATGCCTCTGAAACCATTCTGTAAATATGCTCCAGTACCTGCTTATTTAGTTTACAAAACATTTCAAAACTAATTTGGTTCTGGCTCTTGGTGCATATCTTATGTTGAAAATTGATAAAAAACTTGATGTATTTGTGGAAGTCATAAACAACAGTATTTTTCCTTCATGTTGCTATTGTTCTTTTAGGAGATATGGATTTAGCAGACAAGCAGGAAAAACAGAACAGGTAAAAATATGCCAATTTAAAATACTCAAATTGTGGGAAGAACTGCATTGTTGAAGTGTTGGTTACTGTTAAATCTTAAAATACAGCAGAATAGACAGCTATAACTTCTACTGTTAACAGATTTTATAAATGGCTAACTGCAGTTAAAAATCTGCATGCCATGAAAGGTGGAATTGATTGCCCTTTTTAAAGGATTTCCTTCATCTCTGCTTACAGATCACATTTTGCAAATTTATTTTTTGTTTAGAAGAAAGAGGGTGTGGGCATTGGGTTTGTTTTGGTTTGACTTTTATTGTTAGGTAATGACATATTTTGTCTGTTTATATTTTTCAACTGAGTGTGACATAATGTGATCATTAAAGGGTCTTTCTTTTTAAAGAACCATTCAGCTTGGTAAGAAATACTGTAGACATTTATTACAAAACACTTTGTTTGATGTGATAGAGAAACCTATAAATAAATAAAATTATAAATAAATCATTGTCCTTGTGGAAAATTAGCATCCATGCTGTGCTTTTGATGATTATGGCATCTTAAAATGTCCATAAAATGCTGGGTACCTGCAGTTTTGTGATTTCAGTGCAGATATTAATTTGGCTTCAAGTCTTTATTACAGAGATAATGAAGGTAATGCATTAAACACATCATGGACCCAGCAATACATTGAGTAGATTAAAGTTGCTCTTCTTCATTATCTCAGTATTCCACATACAAATGTGACATTTATTTTTTTATAAATGGAGATATATCTCCAACTAGGCATGTCTGTTTTCCCTTCAGAGTCACCACTAGTCATGTTTATAGAGTTTATTTTGTTTCTTCAAAAATTCTGTTGCCTTTGGGATATTGTATATTAGATGTTGTGGAAGCTGAGCCTCCAGAAAGGCAGAAGTGAACAGTGAAATATGTTAGTGGTGTGGAAGGGTGACCTAGAAACTGAGTCTGGCTGTCCCCAGTTCTCTTTGCTTCAGTGGTACAAATTCTTCTAACTGAACCAGGCATGTTTGCAATTTTTATGTTGGATGTTTGTTGCACCGATATTAAGTTGCAAAAATTATTTATTAAAAAAAAAAATCAGTCCTGTCTTGTGTAGTAGACATCATATTCTGGGTTGTCTGAGGTTGGCAGCTCTCTCTCTGTGCAATAAGGAATCTTCAGACCAGATAAGTCCATAGGAAGGCAGAGACACAGTTGGAATACTTGTGAGAAATCAGGAAGGCTTACATTTCATTTGGCATGATTTGGAGGGTGAGGATGTTCCAGTAGCTGAAATGTAGCTGTTCTGTTTATATGAATACATTCCAATTTTCTCCTTGATGTCTTTCTTAACATTTTATTATACCTAGTTCCAATATTCTAAGGTCTTAACTTCTCTTTAAAAGGCTGAAGATAAAAAAGCTGTGCTACCTCCAGGGCTTGCAGCAGCAGGGAAGGCTGAGCCTTCTGATGAAGATGACCTTCAGGCTGCTGAGGAGGTGAGCCCCAGGCACAGCAGGCATGGGAGTTACTGACCTGGGGGAGAGATTTCAATTTTCATTGCCCAGTCATTCTCCAAAAGAAGGAAAATCTCCATGGTTACTTAAAGTGAAAGTTGCTTCCCACAGGAGAATACAGAGCTTGAAATCGATCCACAAAATTAATGTTTTTTGGTGTTTAACACTCAGAACTTCTTTATTATTTCTTGAATCTGAGCATTTTTTAAAAGGTTGGTTTTTGGTTGACAGTGGGAGTGGAATAGTCTGAGTGAAAGTTTACTATTACAAGAAATTTTCCTTACATTTGGTAACTTTAGCCACCTCTTCTTTTCACAGACTTAGGGCCCTGTTGCATGTTTTCAAATACACATTATATGATACTAATTTTATGTATGTGTCCCTGGCAGAAAGATAACAAAATGTTAGAAGTTAAATTGTTCTGTATAATTCTTCATGTTTTGCTGTAGCTTCGCATTAAAACTCTGATGACTGGCATGGCTGCAATGGCAACAGAAGAGGTCAGTAGCATTTTAAACTGATACAGCTTTCTTTAAATTATGGTTGATTGTGGTAATTATTCTTAAAATCAGGCTGCTGATTCAGGTCTGAAGTCATGGAATGACTGTTTAAATTTTCATAAGGAGAGTGCATAAAAAATGGTTGAATTAGGAAAACAGTAAATTTTAAAAGGCTAATTAGTTCATTATTTGCCTTGAAATGATAATGACAAAATATAAATAAATGCCTATTTCAGATGGTTTCTACAAGAATTTCAGGGTAAAGACATCACTCTGCAGCTACCCAAGATGCCCTATCTTACTTTATTCATCTTGTGAAATTATTCAGAGGATTATTGGGGCGAGTGCTGGAAAACTGTGCCTTTCAAGGTTCTTTTCAAGGCACTTATAAATACAACATGGGACTGAGACACAGAAAATACTGGATATGCATCTTCTTTTCTTAGTTTGTTGTATTTAATGAAATAGTGGAACTTGTAGTCTGTTATTTGATTTCTGGGCAAAAGGACTGGAAATAATTTCAACTGTTAAACATTGTTTCCGTTGATGCTGGAGTCATGAAAGAAAAGGTAATAATTAGTCTAGTCTCAGAGTTGACTGACATGCTTTCTACTGAAATCCATTGCAGAATTCAGTTCTGTTTGAAAACTGGTTTTATACATGCATGCAGTTTAAAGCTGAATTCTTGCACGTGCCTGCATGCTTAAAGGTTTGTTAAGCAAATGCAAAATTCAGTATAAAGAATAAAAGTTTCTGAAATAAGAATAATTTGCTAAAAGGATTTAAGTGAGATATTTCTGTCAGCAAGATTAGGTTTGGGGGGATAGAGTGTTTCCTGGACTTTTCTTGTGATTAGAGATTTTTACTCACTGTGCAAATTTCTGTTTAAAATTAGAACTTACTGGAAATTATCACGTAAAAGTACAGGCAGTTCCAAAACTCCAAGCATTTTCTTGATACAATTGCAGGGCAAACTGACAGCAAGCACAGTTGGCCAGATTGTTGGACTCCAGTCAGATGAGATCAAGCAAATTGTGTCTGAATATGCTGAGAAGGTAAGTGTGTTACCTGAGTGGGTTTAACCATGTGGTGTTTGATAGCATTTTAATTTAGGCTTTAAACTGCCAACTTCATTGCCATGATTCTCTTGAAACACACTTTTTAATACATGCTGTGGGCAGCAGCACAGCCAGAGTTCAGGAAAGTTCTTCAAAGAGACTTCAACATACCCAGGCTTTTGGTGTGATAGTACATGTCCCTGAATTGCATTTGTGACTAATTTGGGTTTAAGACCTGCTTAAATCCTTTCATGGATGAAGAGGAGCCTGAGTTGTATCTATTCAAACTAGAGGCCTAAATTCTTGATGTGCTTTAAAATGTTCAGTGTTAAGCACAGAAATACAGCTCTGAGGGCCTGCTCAGAGAAAATTCTAGGCCTCCTGCACTCAGATTTCCAGATGCTTGCACTGGGCTCCAGTTCTCAGTCATGCTCTGTATCTCAGGTTTTGAATCTCATCTCATCAAGCCCAAACCTTTGTTGCTTTGAAAAGTCAAAGCAATTAAATGTGTGTGTTTGCTCCAGTTGCTGTGTTCAGCTGTGATTGTTTTCTGCAGTAATGTGAAAAGAAAATCTGGCTCTTCAAGCAATTAATGCATCCAATACATCACTGCCAGATATGAGTTATAGGTCGCTCTTACTTGTCCAGCAGTCTTCTCATATTTCTTCCTTTTTGTTGACACATTTGAGGTATGGAGCTTTCCCATTTTGGAGATAAACCCTATAGCTCAACAGCAAATTCTTGGCCTTTCTTTATTATAAAAGATTGGAAGAACAGAAGCCCAAGGGTCATATTTCAATGTTACATTTCTTCTGTTCTGAGAACAGGGAGCAGGACCTTGACTATTATAGTAGAGCAATGATTAATACTCTGAAAAGTAAGAACTGATTCAAGTCAAACCAAAAATAGATCACTTTTCAAATCTATGGGATGTGATAAAAAAACCAGAATTTCTGTGCACGTATGCATGCACCAGGAAAAGAATTAAGGATGTTATCAAAGAGTTTGTTGAAGTATCAGCAATGTTTGGATATAATTCTAATAATCTTAGGCCCTGGTAACTGTACATAGCCTGAGAAACACAGCAGTGCTTATTTTTTTATCAGAGTTTTGTCTTACCACAAGCCCTGTAAAGATCCCTGACAAGCCAAATTCTAGGTCTGATGTTGCCATGGGCCAGGACCTTTCTTACAAGAGGCATTTTTGCACAAGGTCTATGCTTAGAATTTTCTGCATTTGCCCCTCCATTCTGCTGCCATGTTAATCTGCTGAGTGAACTAGAGGAAGGACTGTAGTGTCATTCCTCACCTTCTGAAAATACTGGCAGAAAATTATTAATGAGTAGCAAATGGATCATCTTTAAACAGTCAGAGACATTAGTGATGGTTCTTACCCATTTTCAAAAAGCAAGCTGTAAAGTTCACTTCTTGAAATATGATCCACTTTTTTTTAATGGCAAAGCTGTACTACATGGATTTTTACTATTTCTGCAAACATCAGTCTCAGGCTAGTTTAGCTCATGTTTGTTTCTCTTGCATTTTCATTTTTCTTCATTTGTGTCTCATGCGTGTGAGAGGCTAAATGTGGTGGTGAGAAGGATAAGGTTTTGAAATGCATAAGATGATGAAGGAATGTGATTTGACTAAATAATGAGAGGAATAAGTAAGACTCTATATTTGTTGAGTAGTTCAGGGTCACAGGTGTTGCTTAGAGGCATTTCTTCCTTTCCTAACAACAAAAGCAAAGAAAGCCTCTGAATTGTTGGGTTAAGCCATCAGAATTGGGCTTTTCTTGCTGTGGATGTAGAAACATAACATCATTAAGCTGCTCTTCAATATGAATTACATAGAAAGTGTAGAGGAGGAAGACAGGCTTTGCCTCTTATTTTCATTTAAAATTAAGCTGCTTACCCATCTGCCTGGAGTGGAACCAGGAGCAAATATGAGTGAAGAATATATCACATTTCTTGTAGCATTTTAGCTGATTATGCATTGTAGCAGTTGTCAACATTGGGTAATTATTCAAAAAGCACTTAGTATTGAAGTCTTTGACAGACTATAAATTAGCACTTGAGGTACTTGAAAATTAACTGGTTTTCTAGTGAAATATTGGAAAATGGATTAAGTGAAAAAAAGTCTGAGTGCATGAAGCAAATTAGGAAAACAGATGGATGTAAGTATCAAAGTGAAGACTTTCAAAAGGTACAAATAACCTTAGGCAAATAATCCCTTAGAGATCAAGATATCACTGCTTTTTAATGATTCTTTTGTCTACTGCAAATATACAATTTCTATTCTAAATGCTTTTTGTAAAGAATGTTTCTGTCAGCTTTGCTTTCACAATTCAGAGAGAAGAGGAGGCTGGATCCAGATTGCTGTCTCTGTTATCATTTATGAGACACTCTTGGCAATGCATGCTGGATGGAGTAGTTGTCAAAGGCTGGTGTCACCAATACACGTGCACACACCAAAAAAACCAAAAAAAACCCCAAAAAAACCCCAGAGTGGAAAATGCATCTGCCACACTGAGTATGTCATTGTCATTCAGCATGGAGATGCAGCCAAGCCTCTATTTCAGAATACACTATTGTTCAAGGCTTCTGAAAATCCTGAAGCTGCTTGTTGGAGTGTGGAACATCTCTGATTCAACAAGTTCAGTGAATATCATGGCTTAAGGTGTTTTTTAGTATGCTTGTGGTTTTTTTTCATTGAAGAACTCTACCAGGTTTAACCATAATACTGATGCAAAAAAAAAAAATCTGTCTTCTAGTACACTGTAATATTTTCCACCTGTCCCAGGGCAACTGACTTTTTTAGCTTACTTTACTTGCAAATTTTGGAATATAATTCAGTTGTTCAGCTGCTTGCTTATTTTGATGTGAGGTAAATCAGTAAGTCATTCTTTTGGATAGACACAGTTCTTGATAAGGAATATCACAGGTGTGTCCCACTTTGGTATTTCCTGAGCTTCTGAAGAAGCAGAAAACAATGCTGTGGGATCCAAAAGGCTGTTATTGGTTTTTCAGCAATCTGAGCTTTCTGCTGAGGAGAGACCAGAAAGGCTTGGAGCTGCCCAGCAACACAGAAGGAAGGTGGCATCTCTCAACAAGCAGATCTTGCAGAAAACCAAACTCCTCGAGGAGGTAAGTATTGTGTGTGTAGTAAAGAAGAAAACATTGATAGAAGTGGTTGATCACAAAGTTTTTGCCATCCAGAAAATACCTGCAAGGTGTCTTCTGCACCAGCAATTTGTCATGCTGAACAGTGATTCCTCAGCTTGCTTTGTCCTTGGACTGTGAGAACAGGTTCTGTTCCTGGGGGCAGTTTGCTCAGCCTTAATTTTGGGAAGAACCATGATTTTTCCATTTTAACAGTTGAGGGTCCTTTAATTCTGTGCAGCTTGTTTTCAGTACATAACAATCTCAGTGCTGTTTTTATATGGGGAAAAAATGTACTGACAGCTGTAAGCCAAATATAATCCTTTTATCACTTTACTAAAGTAAGAATTTCCTGGCTGAATTTCATTTACCATTTGCCAAAAGCAGCTTTTGAAACCAGTGACAGTCAAGAACCCTGTCTTTTAAGAAATATTTATGGAGTTCTGGCTTCAATACTGCAGCAAGTTTTGGCAAGATTTCTCAAAATTAAAAATTCATGTCAGTTTTCATGAGATGTGGACTGCAGACTTAAATTTTTTTAATTAGTTAGAATAAAATGTGTTGGTGAACTCTTGGTAAAAAAAATATGAAAAACAATGAAAAAGCTTTATGTTTATAAATTTGGAAAGGGAAGAGTGGAGCATTAAGTCACAGCTGTGTGTTGTGAACAGCACACTGAAACAGCATGAAAGGAAGTGGAACTGAGCTACATGTGCATTTTTTGTTTGCTCACTTTTGCTCCACTTTTGTAAACCACGTCCTGTTTTTGTTTTACTATTTGCAATGTTACCTTAAATCATAGGGAATTTAAATGAGGATGTTCTTCTAAAATTAGCTTCTGTAAATTAATTGACAAGTGGAATATCTAATATTTGTTTATAATACATATTTTGCTCACTGCCTTATTAGACTTTTCATAGTTACACAGAAGAGACCCATAAAGCAACTTGGTTATTTGGTGTGGCAGTGTCTGTAGTTTGGTGCCATGGTGCTTCTGTGCAAGTCTTGAATTGCCCTGACTTATTTGGAGAAGTACAAAATGGGACTCATTCTTAGCTTGCTGTGAAACTAGGCCAGTACAGCCAGGCTAGAAAAGTTTGAGCAGTTTAGCAGAGATTCTGTCCAATTCTGTTGGCCTCTAATTTGGAAAAGCTGTTGTTTATTCTGGGACTTTATGGAGCTAAAGGATCAGGTGGTAAATGTTTGCTATTAGTAATTAAATATTCAGTCAGAATTCTTGCAATCAGTTGCAAGAGTAACTGACAAGAAAAGACAGTGTTTGTTATGCTTGGCCTGCTGTTTGACAGACAACCATTATGGACAGCTCAAATATTCTCTGTTCTCCATTACAGGTGTAATTAGTGTGAATATGGAATCCAACTCTTTTATTTTTTTCTCTTTTGTAACAGTTGCAAGCTAAATATGCTGATCTGCAGGAAAAATGTACCAAAGCAAAAGAGACATTAACAGAGGTAATCTTTGGTTTTTTTCTGTGCTGTTTGTAGCTGAAACTTTTTTGAGAAATTCTGTTTATGAAGGGATGTATGAAAGACTGAAGGTGTTTGCAAGCTGATCTCATGGTGTTTGAAAGTCAAAGTATTATTAATCAATTAACTATCAATTTATTATTAATTGTAACCCTTAGGTTAAGAGTTACAGTGAAAAGCTGGACAAGGAATTGGCAGCCTTAGAAACAATAGAATCCCAAGCAGATTCTAGGTAAGTTTCTTCCTTTGTTACCTTTGAAATTCTGAAAAATAATGGTTTTAAAATGAATCATTCAGTGATTCTTGGTTTTTCAACCTTAACAAATAACTAAAATTTAAAAATTGAATTATTCTCCAGCTTGCTTTCCAGAGACAGGGAAACATTGCAATAGGATTCAGTCAGAATGAAAAGTGTCAGTCTGTAGTTCAAAATAATTGTGTTTAAAGCAGAAGAACCCTAGACACATCTGACAAGTAGATGAGGCCTTCTTGATTTATTTTGTTCATATTTGAAGCCTTCATCTCACATAAATTAAATGGAAGTCTCTCAAAACTTTCACAGTAATGAGGTTAAAACATAACAAAGCCATCAGAATATTCAATGTAACACTCCATTTTGACCTTGGTGTATCAGTGCTGATATTTGGGGTTTTAATTTACCCAGGTTTTATTGTAAATTTATTTAGAACTAAGCTTGTTTTAATGTGTATTAATTCTCCATCTGTTTAAATTAGAAACTAAAAATTTAACATAGTTTACTGGATCTTCAAATTTAGCATATTACAGAGTCTGAGAGCACTGGTGGCCATGAATGAAAACCTGAAGAGCCAGGAGCAAGAGTTCAAAGCACATTGTAGGGTAAGTTCCAGTGTCTCCTGCAAGGATTCATTTAAAACTTGGTAAATTAGCACTTTCCTGGTGTGTTGTTGTGCTGTGTGTGCCTGTCTGTCATCTGTCCCACCCCCAGGTACTGCTCACTCCAGGTTTATATTGAATATTAGCACCCCTGGAGCAGGGAGGAGTGAGGAAGGATCTGAGCTGGTTTGGCCTTCCTTAATACCCTTAAGCAGGGAATGCTATTTAATCTTCCAAATTTAAATAGTGTGTGTGTGGTCAGCTCTGAAATTTTGTTAGAAGTTGTGTTGTCAGGATCCTTCCCTCACCTCTCTTAAGAGAAGAGGTCTCAGTTTAAAAAAAAAATCCACTTTTGTTTGTTTTAAAGGAAGAAATGGAGAGACTACAACAAGATATTGAGACTCTGAAAGCCGAAACAGCGGAAGATGGGGAGGAACAGGTAAAGCAAAAGCCTAAGTTCTTATTTTCAAATTGCATTTTGGAATGTTTGTTTAAGTCTTTCTGACTTCTGGGACATTCTTTTAAGCCTTTAAGTATCTGCTGGAATATTTAAAAATTTCTGTAAAGCCACTGTTCAGGCTAATAATCCTAGAAATACAGGAGTGTGCAAACAGCAACAGCATTATCTGTTCTTTTCGCAGAATCCATGGGGCTCTGCTCGTAGATGCTTTTGTGTCTTTTACTTCTTTCTCTGTAGTACCAGAGAAGAATCCCTGGGTGTTGTGCTAAAAGCTGTGCATATCTCTGACAGAAACATGTCTTCCTCAGAAAATATGTCTGGTTTGGTTGTTTTTTCTTAGAAGTGGGGTTATCTGAAGGGTGAAAGCACGAGCTTTCAGTGCCTCGGTGCACTGCATGCAGTGAGCAGCTGTCAGAAGTTAGACTTTAACACAAGTGCATCCAGACTGATGGCAATGAATAATGAATGAACAGAAAAGGAAAAGCTTCAATGACTTTATTTTCAGTGGGTAAACATTTGATGCATTCCTACCTCTGGAACAAGGCAGATTACAACTTCCATGATGCTGCTGTCCTCTTCAACACAGCATGAAAAAAATTAAAGTGCAAACTGAAATCTTAAATTTTTTCAGCAAGGAAAAAAAGCATATCTAACATTGTTTACTGGATCTTCAAATTTAGAAGCCCACACTGCAGGAAGTGTAGAACACATGTCAGAGGGTTTATGTTCTGTTCAGGTGCCTTGTTTATTCTTAACCCCACCAGTGAATCAAAGTATAAACACTCAGACAAGGGGTACCGACAATCTCTGGATTTGTATCTTCATTTAAAGTGTGACTATTGTAAAGCAGTGCAAAAGCTATTGATAACTCTTAAAAGCTGAAATATCAAAAGTTAAAAACCGTTTAAATGTCCTTGTTTAGAGTAAATGATGTCAGACTTTTAATACAGATAATGAATTATTATTCTAAAAAAACCCAAACAATAAATGTGGTGTTATTGTAGGAGCCAAAGATGGGCAAAACCAGAAAACAAACCAAATCTGCCCATTTTTGCACTGCAGCTCTCGTATGCTACTGTAATACACAATTGTTTTGGGTTCTCAACTTCCAGGAGCCAAATAAGATTATAGAACAGCAGTACAAAGCTGAGAAAGAGAAACTTCAAAAGATCCGCCTGCTACTGGTGAGTTACTTTGTGTCCTTACTTGTGTAAAATTGCTGATGTTTGTCCTATCTTGGAATTTCTAATACTTTGTCTTGTTGTGCTAATTTTAACAATTGTTTCTGTCACAAATCAATTACAAAAAAAAAAAAATTTGATCCTCAGCCAAATCTTTTTGTTTTTTAAATCAATTGTTTGATAACAAAGTATTGCTGGGGGGGCTTCATCCATTTTAAGAAGAGAACAAGAAGAGGCTTTGTTTTCTCCCCTCCTAACTTTCTATTCAGGCACGAAGAAACAGAGAAATAGCCATTTTACAGCGCAAGATTGATGAAGTTCCCAGCCGAGCTGAGCTCACACAGTATCAGAAGAGATTTATTGAACTTTACAGTCAGGGTATGTATATCAAGCAGGACCATCCTGCTGAAGGCTAAAGCCCTGAAAGGAGGGCAGTTGCATTTTAAGCATATGGCATGTAACAACAGCCCCTGCTCATCTGGTGGTATTTTAAAGGTTTTTGGTGCTCACGTTACACATCATATTTTTGAGGTTTTGTAAGCTGGGCTTTAAGAATACGCCTGAAGGTGAAACTCAATGCACAAGATCTCTGGACTAAATTTTGTATGCAGCACGTTCTGTCATTTAGGTTAATAGCCATTATGTTCTGAAACTCCTTAATTCACCATTTACAAATGAGGTTGCTGTGAGGTTGAATCGTGTTTAATTAATTTGCCTTACCATTAGATTGCTTTTATTGTTTCCACTGACATGGCATAACTGGTTCTGAACCAAATTATGTCAAGAACTACCAAGTAAAAACAGTTTCTTGAGGGGATTGACTTCTTTCATTTTTAATTAACACAATCCTGCTATATCTTGGTAGAAGCAGAATACAAATTGTCTTTAACTGTTATGATCAGAAATTATAAAATTGGAAAAGGTGCAAATGGAGTAAAATTTCAAAGTTGTTCCACTAAACTGGTAACAGACCAGTATGCTTACTGGTGTATATTTAACTAACTTGTGTGTTAGCATGAGAAAACCTAGCTAATGATTCAGAGATATTCAGCATTTATTAAATAAATGTGTGAAGCAAGCTCTGGAAGGGTGAGCAGTTCCAAACTGATTATCTGAGTGGGATCCAAATCCCCTGCCCTGGTGAGGCATCTCCAGTGGCACAGGTCAGTGCTGTCCGGTATTGTGCAAATACATGGAATAGATGTGAGTACAAGTCCAGTGCTTCTTCCCCCATTTGCTGTGCCATGCAGTTTATTTAATCAAGTCCAGCTATAAAGAGTTTTGTTGTTTTTGCTTGAATTTTCTGCACATTCTCTGTCATGTCTAATTCTCTGTCATGTCTGGTCAGAGCTACCTGCTCAAAAGATGGAGCTTCCTTTATATCTGAAGTACAGAGAGATTAGCATCAAAGAGACTTGGGCAGCTTTGGGGGTGGATTTAAGATGCTTTTATAGGACTTTGTTTTCTAAAGTACAAAGTGTGAGTAGTATCTCAGGATAACACACTGCTCAGTCATGGCTGGGAACCTGCATTGCACAGGCTGAGCTTCTAGAGAAATGAGCTGGAAATCTCTAGCCAGTTTTTCTGTGCATTGTTGTGTTTTTAGAGGTACTTAGAGGCTTTTCCCTTAGCCAGATTCAGGTGACCTTCAGTTGCCAAAACATGGGTTTTTTTGAGCTTTGCTTCAAGGGGTTAGACAGGACAATCTTCAGCACTAATTTTCAAACCTTAGTGATTTTGTGATTTTTGCACGAGAATACTTTTCAGCTGTATTCAGTGTTTTGGTTTTCACCTAACTCTTCCATTGAAAATGTTTAAGAGAATCAATGAGCCAATTGGTTCCCTCTGCCTCTTCCCCCTTTGTTTTACCCTGCATGGGTTCTGGTGTGTGCCCATAAGGCTCCATAAGTTGGCACAACTTTCCATCACAAAAGGTTTTCTGAGTTGTTTTGTGGAATCCACTCATGAAAGACTTGTGACTACCAGAGCTGCTGGAAGAGCAGAAGGAGATGCATGAAGGAAATAGTTTGGGAAAGGCCTCTTTCATTTGGCAGCAGTTTTGCAAATCCCAGACTAATGAGTAAGATTTCATCAAGGTTTATCATTTTTAACCCATACATTTTTTCCAGCTTGTGGTTTCTAGCCAGAATTACTTTTGCTGCCTGTTGAACTCTTTCCTTGGGAGTCACAAATATATGGGACTTCCTTAGGCATTGAAGAACTAAAGGCTAGAGGAACACTCAGCAGATTTAAGTATCATCTTGTAAGCCCAAAGGGAAGGCATGTCTGAGCCTTGCCTTCCCATCTGAGCTCTGACCAACATCTGCTGTAACCACCTAAACCAGAAAGTATTATTTAATTCTATCACCACACATAGATTATATAAGATAAAAAGACTTTAAGACAGCAAAATCTTTGTTGGGCATCTTGCACATGTGTAGTTTGACATTTATAGTCTAATGCACTTTTTCCCCACACAGTCCTACCAAGATTATCTGCTCTTCCCTGTCCCTGCTGAGCCTGTGCCCCTCCCACAGCCCAGGCAAGGCCCTGTGAGCAGCACAGCTGCCTGGTGGTGTCAGGGTATGGTGCCAACATGGGCTGGCAGAAAGGGCTGCCAGCAGTTGGGGCTTAATTTAGACACTGAGCTGTGTTGTTCTTATGAGAGATGAAAGCTGGAGCCCTGCTGAGAGAAACTCTGGGAGGATGTTCCCTCTGCATGTACATTAGTGCCTGTGTTCCATTATTGATAGTGGAAAATATGTTATAGAAAGCCTACAGAGTATTTTTACAGATTCCATTTTACCTCATATTCTTTTATTATTCTAACCCTTTTTTTTTTTGTTTGCAGTCTCAGCAACTCACAAAGAAACCAAGCAGTTTTTTACTCTTTATAATACACTGGATGATAAGAAAGTATATTTGGAAAAGGAGGTAAGAAAATGTTATTACTATTTTCCAAGTATTCAGTCTGTGGGGAAGGAAAGAAAAAGTTTTTGCTTGGCTTTCTCCATATTCAGTCCTGTTAGAGCAAACTTACTGGTCTTTGTAAACAAAAATGGAACAACAGAATCATAAGAATATTTGTAATCTTGGAGGGGCAATGGTCTGTGTTGTAAAAGAATTGCTGTTAGTACAGCATGTTTAAACACTCACTGTGCTCTTGAAACATGAATAGCATTTGATCAGCAAATATCTCTGTAATCATAGCACCAAATTACCCTTTTCTCTCTTTTCAGTCAATACCTTTTATTATGAACCCAGACCACAGTCAGTAACTTTGGAGAGCAAATTCCAGCTGCTGTCAGCAGCATCAAATTTAGTTCTCAGGGTCTGAGCTGGCTATACTTTATTTGCTGGTGATTTCACTGAGTCAGAAGAGTAGTTTTCATGAAAGAATGGTTTTTTCCCCTCCTCTCTCCCATCTGTGTAGAGTTCATTTCTATCTTGGGCTTAACTGAATGATTTCAGTCTTCTCTTTTTGCAATGACAAGTGTCTGATTTCAGTGAAGATGGAGAAATAGGAGGAAACAAGACGATAAATAAAAACTATGACTTTTAAAATACAAAATGTTTTGATAGCTCAGGTTTCTCTGTTTATTCTGATAAAATAAGAACAGATTAGTGACTTTTGCATTATTTAGATATATTTCTTTAGTTTGTGAGACAAGCAGTGGTCAAATTTCTGACTATGTAAGGACACTTTTTCAGTGTCCTTTCACATCCTGTTTTGGAGATCATGAGCAACCATTTCCTTCCCTTAAGCAGCTGATTCTAATCCACATTAGGTAGTTTTCATTTTTTCCATTCAGAAGAGTCATATACCATATTTTTAAAAATGGATGAAGTACAAGCTATATTATTTAACATTACTTTAATTTCTCCCCTACATTAGTATTTAATACAGACTTATTTGTTGGGGGCTTTGTTTTATTTTTGGGGTGGTTTTTTGAGGGTAAACCTGAAAATTTAAAAATTATAGAGAGACTGGTTTTGAAATGGGGCATAAAAAGTAGATTATAGAGAATAGAGAAACAGAATGCAGAACAGATTTACGTCACAGTTGTATAAACTGGGACTACTCTTGCCAAAATAATTCAATGCCTTTGGGGTTCACAGGGGGAATTCTGATTGTCTTCTGATGCCATCATAACTTAGTTGAATGTATAATATCATTGAGATTTCCTTGAGATGCATTTAATATCAGACCCAAGGTTTCAAAAAATAAATATTGTCTAATGCATAAAACATGTCTTTGGCATCTGTGCTTCACAAAGATTTCTGGAATATACTTTTACTTTGTCTTGTTCCTGGTTTTGGGGAGATTTTTTCCCCTTTTTCCTCCCCAAACCAGCCCTTTTGTAAAACACACCGAGCATCATTGCTTTAAAACAACAATAGTAAGAATTGTTGTACAGTTGAATTTTGGCTATGAGGGTTTTAGTTCTTCTGTGATCATGGCTCATATTTAACCCTGTTTTGAGAAAGATGCATTTTTAAAAGCTTTAAAAGTAACTTTTTCATAATGTCTTTCAATTTTGGGGTGTGTGTGCTGATTTCACTGTAGTGTGACACATCCACATTCTTTCTCTGCCATGGTTGTGCAGCACTGCTGGACAGGGCTACTTTTCCTGGCTTGAATGTGTGTGTATATATGTATATGTATGTATATATGTATATGTATATATATATATATAATATATATAATATATATATATATATATATATATCTGTATAAACTGTAATTATGTTCTCAAGCACAGGCTTAGTGGAATTATCTTGAGGCAGGGCTGTGAACATGGCAAATATTGATGAGTAATGCAATATTTTCGCTGCTGTAAATTACAGGAATTCTTAAGCACCTTGGCTGCTTGGGAGTCTGTTCAGAATTTGTTTGAATTTATCCAAGGGAAGGTCAGCAACACCTGCAGATTCTGCCATGCCTGCTTATTTATATCTTTCAGGTGGAGGATTTTAGATTTAGGAGAGATGAGTTCAGCTTTCTGTGGCAGTGGGGCAGGTGGTTCTGTTTGCAGCCCTTGGCTTTGCTTAGTGCAGAACTCTTCCAATACTCATCAAAAGGAGAAACTGCTTGGAAGGCTTAACCACAGGAGACTTGCAAGATGCATTCAAAGCTAAGAGAAAAGATCACATTAATTTCCAGTTGTTGAATTTTAATGCTCTAGGCAATATGTAAAAAACAGGAAAAAAAAAATCAAAGGCAGTTACATAGGATATATTCCATATAGTTTTATTAGGGGAATTTATAGTTTTATTGGGGGAATTTATACAAGCAGCAAAATATTCCTGGGAATAAATGTTATAAATGTTTATTTTTGTCTTCATTGGGTGCAATGCTACTGTCTTGTAAGAGAAGCCACACACCTCTGAAATGCCATTCTGTGTTTTTTGTTAGTTCACCTTTTAGCACCCAGTAAAATACACATTACAAAGTGAGTAATGGTGCCTGGCTGGTAGGGAATCTGTAAACCTCATCTGCACAATGAAAGCAGTGCAGGAATTCACCTGCTGCTCCTGCACTGCTTGCAGAGTCTTCAGAGCCCTGGGTGGAAATAGATTGTGTTGAGTGGTTCCCATCTCAAAAGCAAAAGTGTTTTTTCCTGGTTATTTGTGATGTGCTTGTGCACATGTCAGCAGTCACTGCTGAACACTGGACCAGCATCTGCTTTTATGTCAAATTCCAACACATGTTGAACACATGTACAGGCCATTTTACTCTATTGCTTTAGTTTGGGAAGGCATCATGCTGGAAAACTCTCGGTGCTATAATTGAGTGCCAGTAAAATTAAAAATATCAATTGTGGTCCTACTTCTACTTCTGTCATTCAACCAGTGGGATAGATTCTACTAAATCAAAAGGATTGTGGTTTATCTTCTGAAAGAAAACTCAAGGTGATTTTTGCAGATCTGTCTGCTTTTGAGGTCATTATCTACATAGTAACTTTTTAAAAAATAAAATCCGTCTTAATGTCTGTGCAGAAAAGACAAATGTGTATTTTCTTTTTTTTTTTTTCAACTCACAGGTTAACTTACTGAATTCTATCCATGACAACTTCCACCAGTAAGTTATGGTTCTTTATCTCCTAGTAGTTGCAAAGAGTGGTAGAGTTAGCTGGACAAATGGGAGTGGGCACCAGTTATAGAGACTAAAAATTTCTTAGAAGATTTTATAGTCATAAACTGATTTATAGAAGAGTTTATTAACTTCGTTCAAGCCAGTTTGGGGAATCACAGACTTGGAATTATGTAATTTTTATAGCTAACATATGTTTTTAATATCTGACTCTTTAGATGTGGAAATTCAGTCATAATTTTCCTGGAGTTAATTTAAATCTTTTCCTCCTTTTAGTGGAGTTGTGGTTATTACATTATGTACAAAACATTAGACTGGGACATATTTCAGACATGTTTATTATAAACTACCTCTGTATTTGGAGATTTTGATATATTGTGGAGTCTGTGTAAAATTGTGGTTGCCTTGGAAGTTCATGGTCAAAGATCAATGTGTGAATCAGCCAGTGTTTATTTCTCTCTAATGATTTCAAGTTCTAAAATGACTTCTAGGTTTTCCCTATTACAGTGTGAAATTGTACATTTGCTGTTCTCCTAGACCTCTAGTCACCTTTATACTATTCACAACAGAGGCTTTGCTTAAAAAACTATGGTTTTATTAGTTATTAGCAGTTGATCTCTGTGCCCATCTCTTTGGTAGCTGAACAGCTTTAGTGTCAGTGGTACCAGTGATTAAAAGGATGAATTTTTACACAGAACACAAAGCAATGAGAACTTTAGACATGGGTGGATGTGCAAGACAGCAGCAGCTGAGACACAGTGTCCCACATCCCTGTCAGGTGTTCCCTTTTCTCCTTTCCAGAGCCATGGCGTCGTCTGGATCTCGGGAGCAGTTTTTGCGGCAGATGGAGCAGATTGTGGAAGGCATCAAACAGAATCGAATGAAGGTCTGACTCCCCTCACTTTCTTTGCTAAAAACTGGGAATTGTCTCAGCAAAGCCTCTTGGATCTTTCTATGCACAATTATTATCCATTACATGAGGTGCAAATTAGGCAAGCAACTAAAAAGGATTCTTTCTTTTCACTTTTGTCAGAAACTTCTCACCACTAAATGTCAATGAATAGAGTATGAGAGAGGTGTTGTAACACCTCTGTCCTGACAGGAATCTTATACCCCTCAACTTCATTACTGGCACTGTAGTGATTTAAATGCCTGAGACAACTGAATGCCACTGCAATCAGTGAGAACTCCTCCATTTGAACTGCGTGGGTGCAGTCAGACCTGCACCTCAGGCACAGTTTCTGACTGTGGGAGTTGATTGAAACTTTCTGCTGCTGAAGAGGATCAGCAGCACCTCAGAATCACAACCATCATGTGCCCTTTTCCCAGTTGCACCTACAGTGCCACTGGTACTGAGACTTCAGCATCAGGCTCTTAATTTTTAAGAGCTGACCTAAATGTTCATTGCATTTCAAGCACAAGCCAGGGGTATCATTTATGAAGTATCTGTCTCCCCTAGTGTGTTATAGATAGCTGTTCCTTATGCACTGTGTCCATGTGTACCCATACATCTGATCCCTTACCCTTCCTGCATACCAACAGATGGAAAAGAAAAAGCAAGAAAACAAAATGAGAAGAGACCAGTTGAATGATGAATACTTAGAGCTTCTAGAGAAACAGAGGCTTTACTTCAAAACAGTGAAAGAATTTAAAGAGGTAAGAACACTTGCTGCATTCAACTGTCAGGCATGTTCAGTGACCCATTTTGATGTATTTGTGCATTAACATATCCACAAGATTTTCTGATATGATGCTTATCACACCATGTTCATGATGTCCCTTGGTGGTTTTCTCCATGTGAATCTTGGACTCTGAATTTGATTCTGAGAGTTCTTTGCTGCTAGGTTGGCACCTCTCCATGTTACAGGGAGAGATTATCAAGCAAGTGGTGTATTTAGGTTTTCAAGTGGAATCTCATGAAGGTCTGTGAGCAGTTAGTTATTGGAGCAAAGAGGGGTGTGGAAATGTGAGTGAATGAGGAGGAAATGCAGGATCTTGGTCATTAATCTTCAGGAACCAGCCTTGTTGCCTAATGATTGTGAAAGCACTGTATAACACTTCATTGATTTAGCCTTTCCCAAGCTTTTAATCATCATGGGCTTCTGTTACTTGCTGTCTCCATGAGAATGAATGAATGAAAATGAATGCTGTGGGCGAAATTGTCATTTGGCTTCATATGTTTGAGGAAAAACATCTTTGTGTAATTATTCCTGCTTTGTTCTGAGACAGTTCCTTCCTGCTTCAGACAGAATGTCAGGGGTGTTCAGCTACTCTGACATGCAGAATTTTACATCCTACTTGCAGAATTTAGGAAGATTTATTGTTAGGTTTTTTACCTATTTTTCTTCCATTGCCATGTGAGGGAATCCCTGCTCAGCTCTGCTACCCTTAAAAATAAAAAAGTCATGGTAGTGGTACTGAACACAGGTGTACTTGTGTAAATGTATTTCCTGACCAAGAGCTGTTCCCTGAACACTGACTCTTTTGCAAACTGTCCTAAGAAGTTCCAGATCATCTACAAGTAATGTCCACTTCAGATTTTTTCTACTTATAAGTAAAAAGCTGAATTTGCCTTCAGATGGGTGGTCAGGCAGTGTTCCTTCTGGCTTGCATGTCATAAAGTTTAATGAGTATTGCCATTGGAATAACATTATGGATGAATCAGAATTCTCTTCAACTCATCACTCACTCCAAGCTGCTTTGGTTGTGGCGATGTTTCAAAATGGAAGAAAGGGTTTGTTCTGTTGATGTGGAGATACAGGTGGCAGAGTTTGAGCAATTCCTCCTCACTTGTTTGCTCTCTGTTAACAGGAGTGCCGCAAGAATGAGATGCTGCTGTCCAAGCTGAAAGCCAGTTCTTCCTGAAGAGCTCCAGCTGGGGAAATCTAGAGAAGATTGTTCAGTCCATTGAATCTCTTTTGTGAGGTGACAGTTATAACTGCAATGTAGATGTATATATATAGATATATATAAAAAATATATATACACACAGCTGTAAAAGTCTGGTTTTTCCAGTATGTGTTCAGTTTACATTCCCTCATCACATGGCTGTATTATTCATTATTGCCTCCACTACACAGTAAAGAGTTAACACAGTACAGCAAAGTAGAAATGTCTAATTTTATTTATTTGGGTTTGGGGTTCTTTTTTTCCTACAGTAAGGACAGTGGGAGTTGTTTTTTTTTTTTTTGGGTTTTAACACTGAATTAAGTGAAAATTCTGGAATAAGTTTACATGTACTGTGTAGTATGTCCACCACCCCACAGGATGAGCACTGCAGAATGCAGTACTTTGTTAATTTGGGCCCAAAAACCCCTTCAAACTCACTTTTCCAGCTAATAACTTCACATTATTTTAGTTTATATTCTAGCCATATATATAGGATTCCAGAGGATAACAATTAATTTCTAATGGCTAAGAAAATGAAAACTTACCTTGGATAATTCCTGGTGTAAAATTATAGATCTATATTTTTATAAAGTCTAGCTGTTGTATAAATTTCTTTGAAATTTCATTTTTATATATAGAGAGTGTGCTTGTTAAATTAATAGCTCCAGGAAACAAACACCTTAATACTAGGATCACCACGTTATCCCTGGCTGGGATGGAAATCAGAGTCTGTCACCTGTAATATAGGAAGATAAAGATTGAGACATTCTGCTCTAATGAACTGATGCTCACCTTTGAAGACAACAACCTACTTACCCTGCTGAAGACTTGCTCTTGAAAGTTCAGAAACTTTGTGGGACATTTTCTGAGACATTTTTATATCTGTATATACAGTATTTTATAATTCAAACGGTTGCTTTTTGTACTTAACTCCAGGATTTTGGACTGGCTTCTTAATGTACATGACATCTTCAGGAGAAGAAGACCCATGTTCCTTTTCCCACTGACACTAATGACAGCACTGTTCAATTATTGTCTATGGCAGCAGATATAAAATAAAGGATGTTTGGAATCCAGTGACATTCTGATATTGTGTTTTTAAGGTGGAACTGGCCTCAGAAGCTTTCCCAGGTCCTGAATCACAACTGCATTAAAAGATGAACTGTGTCCACAGTTAAATGAGTCACTGTGTTTGTGATGTCCTGCTCCTTCAGCACAAACAGAAAGGAAAGCTTCTGACTGAGCCAGCTGGGACCTTGCTCCCCCACACTGCTCAGTGAGGGAATAGATCTGGGCTGCTCCTCTTGGTTCAAAAAGTCAGTCTGCCCAGGACTGGCAAAATCAGATTCCAAGTCCCTTCAAAGAAGGAAAAATTTACACTCAGCCTTCCTTCAAAGAAGGAAACCTGCACTGAGTGCTGCTTGCAGACTTTCTGTAGTCAGCTTTGATATAGGAGGCATTATATCTGTCTACAAACTTTGCCCTCTATAAAAACAATAGAAAGCTCATTCCAGTTTGTAAATTGAATAACTCAGCTTTGGCCCCAAGGAGACCTGCTTGGGAATTCAAGCTGTGCTGTGTTTGTGTACCATGCAACTCTAAAAAAGTAACTTGAATGGGCATTTCACTTTGGGATTTATCATTTTAATCACAATTGCTTTTCAGCATCAAGAAAAATTTCATAGGTAGGGTAAATAATGAACTTGCATGTAAGAGTAAGTGATGTGATTATTTGTTCAGTATAATGTTAAAATTTATGCTTACCTGCTACAAACACAGTACCCTGGAAACTTCCACAAGGAATATAAAAATGTGAACGTCTAAGAGCTTCTGATTTTGACTAAGATATAATTCTGAGGTTTGTAGAATGCAGTTATTGCTCACAAAGGATAAATCAGAGTCCAGATCATAACTCACTGTCTGCTGCAGATGGAGACCAGGGCAGATGGCCACAACCTTTGGTGTGAGGCCCATGTGAAAAGGAGAAGAAAGGAGCTGGTGAGGGTGTGAAAACAGTTCCATCAGTTGTTTTTGCTTTCTGGCACAGGCTCTGTGTGCTGGGTGCCATTTCTCCTCACACCTGGGGAGGAACTGACAGCAAGGAGAATCTGCCTTAATTCTCCATCTCAGCTGGTTGCAAGCAAGGAATTCTCAGAATTTTCCTTCAGTATTGCTGGATTTCCTTGTTGAAAGAGAAATGTCTTGCCCTGAACTCATTTGCTGTTACCCTGTAAGGCTTGTAAAGTAACATTTACAGGACTTGCAGCAAAACCTAATTTCTTCATTAGGGTTATTAGCATTGTCTGCTCACACTCATCTTCCAAAGCCCTTTCATTTCTGCACATTCTGGGCTCAATGCAGCTGCTGCAGGATTCTCAGAGCCTTGCTGCAGGATGCAACTCTGCCCTTCTGCCAAACAATAGGGTTCAGTAAATTTTTCTGAGAGCAAATTCAGTGTCAGGAAATAAAATTTAAAACTAGTAGTCCACTGCTTACAAGCAGAGATGATTGGTGTACTCAAATTGGCAACTTCTATTGGGGAAATAAATACATAACATCTAAGCTGTGCCAAATGATGTCCCTTTAGAATATTTAAATTTTTTTTTTCTGTTTGGATAGTCAAGATACTGTGTCCTTAATCTTAGTTCACATGGGAGCATGCAACAGGTTAGGCACCAACCACTGATAAATATTTTCTTTGCCCCACAAAGAAAGCTGTGAATAAAAACCAGAATTTTAAATCCCAAATCTGTGCTGCCACTCTTCTAAATGCAGTCTGCATTTAGAGCCAGTGTGGGAAGCTGATTTTGTTGAGAGCTTTCTAAAGCCACTGCAATGAAATGAAAGCTCTGCTTGCCTCTCATTGCCTCTGGGTGTGTGGGGAGGCCGGCTGTGTGAGCCATCACTGTAACACTGCTGGCACAGGTGCTTGGGTGGGCACAGCACTGCCTGCTGAGCTTCAGAACTCCTCACAGCACAATCCCAGAGGCCCAGCCTCACCTCCTAAGGGACCTAAATCCATCCTTGAGGAGGAGGAGAGCTGTGCCAGTGCCCTGCTGCTGCTCTGCTGCTTGTGCTGCAGGCCAGTGTCTGCAGCAGTGCCCTGCATGTGTGGCTGCAGGAACTGCACAGGGGCCTTGCAGCTCTGTGGTGTCCTCCCAAGCTCCAGAGCCGTGGCAGAAGGAGCCTGCACAGCCTGTGCTGCCCCTGGAACTGGAGCTTGGAATGTGCAGCTGGACATCACTGCAGCCAGACTGGGATGGGCCAGGGCACCAGCACTGGCACTGGATTTGTGTCACAGTGATGGCTTGGCTTACCAGGCTCAGGGAGTACAGGCACTAAAATTTGTCCAAACCATGATTATTAGAAATTTCAGGAGTGCCACATGCAGAAGATTTGTGTGCTTTTCAACACCAGCTCAAGATGACCTCTGCATTTCCTCCTTCCATGTCATCTGTTTGGATTTTAAAGGTTTTAGAGCAGTGACTCTCTTACATGAAAAAAAATCAAGTGACTTGAAAAATTCATCAGTGGTTCTGAATGAAGCTGCAGGTTTTAGTAACATTCAGTCTCTTACATATGTGCCTTCCTTCTGGTTTAATTAAGCCTCCAAACACTGGTTTGAATGGTAGCTATTCCATATGCAGGCAAGTTGAGAGTCACAAGGGAAAGTTATTTAAATCAGCATTTAAGTCTGAGTCACTGTCTAAGTCACTGTCTAACAACTCTTTGAAATTCTAGGTAATTAGAACTTCTGAATTCCCACTGAAATGGAGAGAAGCATCCTCTGCAGGAATGCAAGACACACAGGTGGCTGTGGGCACAGCGGGTCACACTGGACTGTCACAGCACTGCAGGTGTGAGGTACAGCACTGCCTGTGCTCCTGACATGCAGCCAAGCTCCTTTCAGCTTCCTGGGACTCTGTGCCATGCTAGAAATACTCAGTGATGTGTCAGCTCTCCCACTCAGAGCAGGGGAGGAAGTAAAACCCACCAGAGAGACAAATATGGAGCAAGATGGACTTGGCAGTATGCAAGGAAATAGATTATTTCTGTATATATTGTTGGGTCAGTGATGTTTGTCAGATCTTGGGAAAATTATTTCAGGCTTAGGTTTGAGTCTCTGGGTTTTGGGGAGTCACTTACACCTGATGGCATCAAGCCTTTGTTACAATAGGAGGAAGTTGATGCCAGCTGACAAATTGTGGCCTTCACCCAGGTTGGGTGCTGAGCACATGGATGGTGCCAGGGCCCCAGGCTCTCACCCACCACTGCCAAGCAGCCACACATTGCTGCAGGACACCTGGTGTGACTGAGCACCCTGTGTGGTGTTTGTCACACAGATGCCTGCTCAGTTTTATGGCAGCATGAAATAACCAGGCACACAGCCCCCATTCACTTGGAGGTGTTGGTGTCTATCTTGAGCTCACCTGGGTTCCGTAAAACAGGCAGAGTCTGAGCCTGGCAGAGTGAGAGAGGACAGCACAAGTGAAAAATCCTCACTAGATCCTCCTATGAGAACACATTCTCAGGGACTCTGAGTAATTCTGTGCTTGCCTCTTAAGTTTCACTTAAGCCCAGGGGACACAGGTGACCCCTGTCTGATCAAGCCTGCCCATCAAGCCCTGCTGCTTGCAGAGCACACAGCCCCTCAGTCCTGCCAGGCTGTGTGTCTGAGCTGCTTGGTCATCCTCTTTAATTTCACATCAACTCACGGACTGATTGACTGCAGCATGTTTATTCCCTCCCAAATAAATCTCAAACCCGAACCCAGCATACTGTTCATATCACCAACATGTTAGTACTGCCCAATTAGCAGCTCCCACGGTGCCTTTGCTAATGAGGAGAGCTCCGGCAGGGCCTTGTGGCTGGCGGGGCGGGACCAGCCGCGCTGGGTGTGACAGCCACGTTAGGTGTGACAGCCGTGCTGGGTGTGACAGCCCCGTTAGATGTGACAGCCGTGCTGGGCGGGACCAGCCGCGCTGGGTGTGACAGCCCCGTTAGGTGTGACAGCCCCGTTAGGTGTGACAGCCCCGTTAGGTGTGACAGCCGTGCTGGGTGTGACAGCCCCGGCACCGCGCACACCTCACTCAGCCTGTGCTGATTGAAGAGCAGACGGGAGGCATTCCCTGCTTCCACCTTCCTTGCCAAACACTGGCGTAGCACATCTGTGTTTCTAAAGGGAGACTGTAAACTCTCAGTAGGTTTATATCCAGACATCTTCCATCTTCTTTTTCACTGCTGCTAAATCCCCTCAAGTAGCTCTCGTGCATGGCAACTGTTCATATCACAGGCATGTTTCCCTCAAGAAATCTATTATGCAATAATCGTTTTCTCCTCTGTGTCCCCTTTTATCTTTGCTTTACAAAAAGGTTCTTGAAGGCATTGTTGTAATTTTTGTTAAATGCTGTATAAATGAGAGGATTAAAGAAAGAATTTGAGTAGCCAAGCCAAAGAAAGATGCTTTTCCAGATGGGCGGGATGTTACAGGAACAGAGGGGACTTATTAATTCTGTGATGAAGAAAGGGATCCAGCACAGTACAAAAACTCCAATTAAGATGCCAACCATCAGAGCTGCTTTTTTCTCTTTCTGTTCTCTCCATGTTTCTCCATCTGTCTGGAAAGTGATAGCTGCACGACGAGCTGTAAACACCATCTGTGGTTCCTGCGAAGCTTCCTTCACCTCAAACAAAAGCAAACACAGTTTCTTACCAAGACAGTTTGTTTGAGTGAAGTATTTCTTTTAAATGACAGCACAACATCTGTGCACCTACCACAAAAGGCCTGGACTTCATTCCTTCCATGCTAAGAGAAAGAAAATGCCCCAGAGTGCCAAACTCATTACAATGGAAAAGCTGCCAAGTGTAGCTGACAAACACAGCTAAATAAAGAGGACCTGGTACCATGTGTGTTGTGGGACTCTTTTTCAATTTATTGTCTTGGATGCCTTCAAACCTAGGGGAAATGAGGTTGTTAAGGCAGGCAAACAAAGGCCTGTGTCCGCTGCCTATCCCTGCACCAGACTCATGCTGCCACATGGCCTTCAGACCTGCTCTAGTGAACTGCTTCAACAGAGCTTGCACCAGATCATCTCCAGAGCTCCCTCCCAAGTCCAACCATTCTGTGATTCTGTATCTTCTCAAAAAGTACACCATTGCCAGAAAAACACCATTTCAATAGACCTTCAGTTCAAATTCTAGCTTCAGTAGAGGTTATGCAAGAGAGGAAAAACTTTCAGCTACTCCAGGCTGTCAACAGTGCTTCTTGTCTCCTCTCACTGAGGGCAAACAGCTTCTGGGCAGAAGTTATTTGTGTGCTTTGAGTCTGACCAGATGAAAACACTCCTTAGAGATTTTAATCTGAAGATGGAAGTGTCTGTGATATTAAAGTTCTTCTAGGCACTACAGTTATGAAGAGAGTGCAATAAAAGCAACAGCTTTAGGCTGTAAAATTTGCCTGAGTGGTAATTCACAGGCACTCCAGATATGGGCCATTGTTAAATTAGCTACATATTGCACATGCATGTGCTACCTCTGCAACAGAAGGAGAGCCTGTGCTGAGTATGAGCACAGCAATTCAGACAGTGAAGCACTGCAGTGGCTGAACAATCACTCCTCAGGATGGATGTCCCTGTCTGCACCCTCAGACACCAGCCAGGGCTGCAGAACGTAAGGGCAGCAGATTATGGGCACAGGCAAATAATGGAGGGAAATGAAAACCACATCTGTTCTGACAATTAAAATGGGACACCCCTCATGTAGCAAGGATCACACCATTTGTCTGCAGAAGGACTTGCTCTGCACGTCCTTAATCACACTCTGCAAAAAGGGATGAATGTATGACACGAGGACAAATCTGTGACAAGCAACCCTGAAAGATGATGTCTCAGTGCTGAGGAGCAGTTACCTCAGTGCCTTTTGGGAACAGCCACACAAAGGACTTCCTCATGAGCATCAGGCACAGGTTGGTACTGCAGTTAACCTTCAACTCTTGCTCAGAAGATGGAGCTTGCTGTGTGCCATCATCAAATCACAAAATCAAATCAGAGCCTTCTCACTACTTCTGACTGCAGAATTTCCTAGCAGTGACCCTTCTGTCACTTAATTGCATATTGTAAGAAAAGGTTATTTCGTTTCCTTTGCTAGAAGGTACCTCAGTCCTCAGATGTTTTCCACAATGAAACTTGCATTTTCAGCCTGGTGAAGCTCTTACTGAAGCAAGAGGAGTTTTTATAAACTTCCCTAGTTGTTAGGTCAGGCCTCTGAAAACAAAACAGCAAGTGAAACTAGATCATGGTACGTTTTGTAAATTATTAGATCATGGTATGTTTTGTAAATTACTAGATCATAGTACGTTTTGTAAATTACTGGCTAGAACTAAATGCAGCTCTAACTGTATCAAATCTGCAGTTCCCAGTGCCAGCCCCAGAGGCTTCTCATGACTCCAGTTTCCAATGTAAGTCACAACAGCTGCCCTTTATCCCCATGCCACACAGAACAAAGGACAAGTACAGAACCTGTGCCCCCATTTTGGGTGTACTGATGAGCACTAGCAGGCTGTGACAGCAGAAGAGGTGGACACAGAGTATAAATGAGAGCAGTCCATGGAGATGCCTTGGGTTATGCTGGAGCCATCTCTGCAGTGCTGCACACTGCTCTCACTCAGTGTCTAGCAGCACACTCTGCCTCGGGCACAGATTTCCTTCCATCTGCCTGGGCACTGCTCCAGGAGCACTGGGAAATAGCAGGCATGAAAGGACTGCTCCTCTGAGGCCAGAATTTGGTTCAGAACTTGTGAAATCAGCTATTTCCAGGACAATGGGCTGGGAGAACTGCAGAGATAACTGCTGTTCTGTGAGACTAATAAAAAGTAAATGACGGAAATGAGCTCAAGTACAAATCCTTCTACAGTCACAAAGGAGTTTGGTTGTAGTTCCAGAATTTATTCTTCTGTACACTGATCAGCAATCACAGTTCAATGCCTCTTCTCTTGTTTGTCTGTCCCCAGTAAATTACTACTCCTAAATGGATACATGTTCCCAGAGCTGTATGTTCCCAATTCCTGTGTTCCTAGAATATCATAGAAAACATGCCACCAAGGAGCTTCTGACAAAATCCCTTGATTTAAAATGTTCCTTACAGCTTTAATGATTGTTATTATTGATCCTTTGTGGCAGGTGCCCTGTGTGTGTCTGTCCTGCACCTGCAGGGCCTGCAATAACAAAACAACAGTAATGATAAACATCAATCAAATCTGCCTTAGCACCACAAATGCAGAGCTTTGCCTATCACAGTGTGGTGCAGCAAAGGTCCTTACTGCCTCAGTGCAGCCCTGGCACACTTACTGCTCCTTGAACAAGAGCACAAGAAGATAAATGCACAACAAGGGATCAAAACAAAGAAAGGTCTACACTGTCTTGGATGCTCCACCAACATGACAAAGAGCTCATTTGACAGGGAAAACAACACCAGCTTTCTCTCAGGATTTTCTTCTGCTCTAAGGAAATCGCTACCCACCCCACTTTGCTTCCTGCCTCACTCTTTTCTGAACATTTTTTGCACATCTTCTGGACAGCTGAACTTTGTTTCCTGACCCATCTCTTCTACTTGTACAGAGGCACAAATAAGAAATAAAAAGTCTGAGATCCCTTCAGAAAAGGAGAATCTGGTTTTTTTTCTCCCACATTGTCCTGACTGGTTAAGTGAGTTGGAAAAGCTGAATGGGCCAAGGTGCAGAACAACACAGCATGTCTGGAGCTGTGGGGCCTGATGTTACCCAAAGGGGGAAGGACTCTCACAAAACTCTAAGGTTTGGATCATGCCTAATGTTTTCATATACAAGTACTTTGAGAGGGCAGAAATAAAAAAAAAAAAAGACAAAATAAAAAATACCCAACAAAACCTTCACCAATCATCAACAGAACTTGATTTTTTAACTCTTCACATGAAAATTTAAACCTGATTTTGCAATTGCTACATGTAAGTGATGCAGACATTCAGATCCCATCATCCTCAATTTGCTGGGCTATCCCGATGCCACAAGTGATTTCATTGATTTAAAAGGGAACTATCCAGCAGTATCTGCTGCTTTTCAAGCAGTCTCATTTATTTCAATTGCACTGTTTAGAAAGAGAATTATTGCCTGCTGTCAACCAGGTGTGACAGAGCATAGCTCTCTGTCACTGATGATATGTCACTAGGTTTTTAATGAGGGTCACCCACGTCAGTGTTGCCTGCAGAATTCACTTTTCAGGGAGTTTCATAATTGGCAAACAAAAAATTATAAAAGCATCAGTTTAATTTAGGATCCAAATTTGGCAATTATTTTATTTCAAAGGAGAGCAAAAACCAAGCTGTCACTAAAACCAGAAGCATCTCAGATGTTTCACATCCGTCCCCCTCACCTGAATTTTTTCAAAGGTTTTGAAAAGTATTTTTCAAAAACACAAGTAAAATTTTAACCAAAGAATGACTCAGAAGAGTTATTTTGTACCTATTCTATTCTGCAGCTCTGTAAGAGTGTAGGAACATAAGGTATGTATGCCAACTCCCAGTTTGAAAGGAATGTCCTTTCTCTGTGAAAAAAACCAAACCATTGTATACATACACATACAAACATATATATATATATATATATGTGTGTATATATATATATATATATATAGGGAACCTGCAAAGCACTTTGGTGCCTGACTCTGCTGGCTGACAAACATCAAGGTATCACCCTCACTGCTCCAGTTGGTGCACTGGTTTTTCCAAGATTCCCCTACTGGCACCAGAGTGCTATGAGCTCAGACTTTTTCTGTCCTTAGACTTGCCAGAATTAACCAGCTGGTTGTAGCTCAGGCCACCAAGTGCAGCCCTGCTGTGCAGTTCCAGTCCAGCACCACCTGACAGCTCATTGCTGAGTGCAACTCAGACATCTCTCCCAGCAGGGATCACTGCTGTTATTGCTCACCTCCACACTGGGAAGCACTGCCAGCCTTGGGCATCGTCTGCCAAAAACTCCCTGCTAATATTCCTCAGATCCAGGGCAACCTGGAGTGAGGACTGACATAGATGCAGAGGGGAATTCACATCCAGAGTCACAGGGACAGAAGGAAAATGTTGCCAGGGTGAGAATGACAGGTGAGCATTCTCTGAGAATGGAGATGGAAGAAAGTAGAGGGAGGAGAGACATCAAGGGAGAAAGAATGGGAAAATCAGAATGAGCTGATGGGAAAAGCATGAGAAGCAGAGCAGAATTTGCCCCATCAGAGAGGACAGAGCTGATGCTGACAGCCTGATCACCCCTGCAAAGTTTGGCAATGTTATCTTTGTGTTTGCATGTTAAAAAACAACAGGGTTTTGCCAAAGAACAGTAGTGATGTGTGTGAAGATTCCCCTCCAGAATTCACTGGGGAACTGCTACTCTTCCTGTGAAAGTGATGGATCCTACTACCACAAGCTTAAAAAAGATCAGGATAACACTCAGTGAGTAAATCTCAGCATCTTAATTTAGAAAGAAAACAAGAAATGCATCCTGAATGCCAGCTTGCTCGATCCACGAGTTCATTACATGTGTGCAGCATCAGCTCTTCCTTCAGGTGAGGAGTAAAGTTTGCATCTGAATCACAGAAGTCTTTTAATTTAAGTCAGCCAATGGAGCTGCTGGGACAACAGAGGAAGTTGCCACTACACACCAACTGCAGACTCAAGAATTCCTGTCAGGAGAAGTCAATCACAGTTGATATGTCAATCACACCAATGAGAAATAAGACCTACTGGCTTGAGCATCTGCTGGCATTGCAATAATTCCCCCAAAATGGGTGTGTAGCTCACTGTGACAGAGCCCTTTTGCCAGTACAGCCTAAAGCAGCCCCCAGACTTTGCATCACAAAAAGCACTCACCTGGCAGCCATGCTCAGGGCCTCCTGCAGACAGAACTATGACATTTTGCAGCCAGACTCTGTCTTGCTGAAACTGTCATGTGATGTTGTCTCTCCACTGGCTCGAGCAGCAATGCCTCAGCTCATTTCACTTCCCAGAATTTTAGATTCCAGATAACTAGTCCTGTATGGGTATGTGTGCGTGTAAAAGATAGAGCATGCAAAAACACTACAAATAATCAGCTGGCTCTTGTGCTTGAAGAGATTATACATTAACTCCAAGCAATACTTTCATTGTACTTAAAACGATTTGGAAGAAATTTGGTGCAAGCTAGGGGCTGAAGATCGTAGGAAAAAAAATGCCACTAGAGGAGACATTCTCTACTTTTCTAACAAATTTTTTGCTTTTTCATAGAGGATACTTTCATAAATCAATATACATTAGAAGCAGCTTCAAGACATTATGATCCAAATCTGCAAGTCTAATCACACATAATTACCAGTGCATTATGCAATTATTGCCACTGCAATTATGCAATTAACTGGGGACACAACCCACAGACTCTTACTTGTGACCATCATAATGAGCTTCCTTGCCTCCAAATCTAAGATAGGATTTTGCAGGGGATGAGGCACTGCAGGATTAACCCCAATGGAACAGAAATGTTCTCTGTAGGTATCTCTTAAGATCCACACAGCTCATCTTTGGCTACTGGGAAGGTACTGGGCTTAGGAAGTGCAACATGTAATCACAAAAACATAAAGACTGGCAGGATTAAGAGCAAGAGTAGGAGACAGCAAACAGGGAAAGTTTACAGAGAACACAGCCAAGCACTGTGGAGGTATGGAATGGGTGACAGCAGCATCATGCAGAGAGCCTGACTTACAGAGCACGAGGAGCCAACCCCAACCCTTCTAAGGGACCCAGCTTTCCTGTCACCAAGGCGTATCCCCAAAATGAATGAGACCTCCTAAACAGCTAGGGCACTGCAGGATTATAGGCAATCTTTGCAATAAGAACATGGTTTTGAAGCCAGCAGGTAATTTTAAACCAGAAACAATTGCTCATTGCTTCAACACTGTGCAGTGAGCAGCATTCAAGGAAAAACAGCCCAAACACATCATTATATAAGTTTATATTGTGTATAGTGCTTAATTTGCTTACCAGAATGCATTCAGACACACCAAGTCTGTGCTGGTAGATAAATGTGCATTTATCTTGGTACAGGACCTGGGGATCTGTTTATGTCTTTTTTTAACCTCACTAATGCTATAAAAACATAAAGCGGGAAAAAAACCCAAAAACAAAGAATGGCAAATTCAGAACAAAGAGATAATTTTCAAATGTCTCTCTCGACTGGCAGTGAGTGCACCTGTCCCTTACTCTTATAAACCACAAAGTAAAAATGAGAACAAAGCTCTTCTCCAGGAGCTGCACTTTTTGACTGGCTAATTGATGCTCACGTCCAGTCTGTGACAAAGTCAAACACACAGGGAGCCCCAGGGCACCTCGCAGCCTTCTCGCTGTGCCAAACCCACCATTGAGGGTGGAAAAAAAAACCTCACCAGGAGTGAGGGCCGGAGCTGAGGAGAAGCAAGAGCGCAGTGCCCGGGGGAGCAGCGAGGGCTCCCTCCCCTTGCCCGGCCTTACCTGGGCAGCCTCGGGCAGGGGCAGCACGGCGTTCCTCCTGCGGGCCCCCATGTGCAACTTGGACGCCTTGTAGATCTTCCAGTAGACGAAGAGCACCACGCAGAGGGGCAGGTAGAAGGCTCCGCCCGTGGAGACGATGGTGTAGGACGGCTTCTGGCTGAGCTGGCAGCGCTCCTGCTCGGGGCTGTAGGTCTCGCCCCAGCCCAGCAGCGGGGCGAGGGAGATGGCGGCGGACAGCAGCCAGGTGAGAGCGATCATCACGTTGGAGATGCGGCGGCGGGCGAGCAGCGTGTACTGCAGCTGCCGGGTGACGGACCAGTAGCGGTCCAGGGCGATGGCCGTCACGTTCCAGATGCTGGCCGTGCAGCACAGCATGTCGAAGCACACCCACACGAGGCACAGCTCCCGGCCCAGCCGCCAGCGCCGCCCGGCCGACAGCTCCTTCACCAGGCTCAGCGGCATCACCAGAGCCGCCACCAGCACGTCCGACACCGCCGTGGAGGCCACCAGGTTGTGGGGCACCCGGTGGAAGGCCTTCACTCGCAGGATGGTCGCCAGCACCAGCAGGTTCCAGAGGAAGGTGGCCACGGTCAGGAGCACCAGCAGGGTGAGGATGAGGACGGTGAAGATGGAGAAGGGCTCCCGGCTCCTCCACGCGCTGCCGCCCACCACAGAGGAGGAGGCGTTGGCGTCCACGTTGGCAGACGAGGTATTGGCGCCCATGCTGGGCTGGCACTGGCTCCGTGGGGAGCAGGGGCTCAGGGACTCCGCCATGCCCGGGACCGGGGCTCGACCCCTCACCGCTGCCCCTTCCCAGGCCGCCAGCACCGTCCCCAGCCCCGCTGCCGGCGAGCGGGAGCCCCACACCGGGACGCGGCTCCGCTCAGCGGCCGCCCCACATGTGCCGCCGCCCCAGCGCTGCCCGCGGCTCTCGCCCGCTCCCGCCGCTCCGCACGCCCATCCCGGGCGGCTGGAGAAGGGAGGCAGGCTGGAGAAGGGAGGGAAGCTGGAGAAGGGAGGGAAGCACGGCGAGGCTCCGGCATGGGCAGCGCGGGCGGGCGGCACCACCGCTGCCGCCCCGCCCCAGCGGCCGCCTCGGGGGCGGTGGCGCGGCCGGGCCGTGTGGGGCGGGAGGCGGCGCCTCCCCGGCTGCTGCCCGCGGCCCCGAGGGGTGAAACGCGCGCTGCTGGCGGGATATCCGAGCTGTCGGGGCTGGAAGGAACCTCTGGGGATCACCCCGTCCCACCGCCCTGCCCAGGCAGGGTCACCTCGGGCAGGAACGCATCCAGGTGGGTTTGGGATGTCTCCGGAGAGGGAGACTCCACGCCCTCCCCGGGCAGCTTTTACTGCGCTGCCACCCTCAGTGTAAAGAAGTTCTTCCTCATGTTGAGGTTTAACTTCTTGTGTTTCAGTTTTTCAGTGGTGTTGCTGGGCACCACTGAAAAAAGTCTGGCACCATGCTCTTTGCACCTGCCCTTGAGATCCTAATGTGCATTAATGAGATCCCCTCTCTATCCTGTCTTCTCCGGACTAACCAGGCCCATTTCTCACAGTCTCTCCTCTTAAAAGAGATGCTCCAGACCCCGCATGACCTTTGTGGCCTCTGCTGCACCCTCTCTAGTAGCTCCAGAGGAGCCCTAATTTGGACACAGTGCTGAGATGTGGCCTCACCAGGACCAAGTAGACAGCAATAGTCTGTGTCCCCACAGCCCCAGGTGTGACAGGACATCCCCTTCTCCCCATGGACCCCATGAGGCTACAGGACACCCTCTTCTCTTCACAGCCCTTTCGTGCCATGTTCCCTCAGTGCTCCCACCAACCATTTCATTGCTCTTAAAATAAACAATCAAATATGTGACCAAGGGCTTGGAGATGGACAATAGAATCAACAGGGAATAGATGGGAATGTCATCTTTCCATCTGGATGTTTGGTGCTTTGTGATGCTTTTGAGAAGTCTAAGGGATGCAAAACACAAAAGGATGGAAAATAGCAATCTCTTGTAAGTGTAGATACTTCACATCTTCCTTTGCATTTCCCTCTTGACCTGAGAATTGATGAGAAAAGGACTTGTGGCAGAGGTGAGGAATATCAAAACATATTTCCTAGTCCTCATCACTTCAGGAGTCAATCTTTAACTGAATCTTTTTGGACTCAGTCTTGTCATAATATTTCTTTCTGTCAATCTGAAAGTTCTTACGTAGCTTAACCCTCCTTGCATCCTTGTAGTTCGTGTCCAAGCTCCCCTGTGCTGAGCTGTGTGAGGAGGTGTTTGTGCTCCCCAGGGAGCAGCTGCCCAGGCCAGCATTGTCACAGCACCATTTCCAAGCACTTCCAAGGATAGCACACAGCTTAATAACAGCTCTGGAGGGTGATGATTCATCCAGAGATAACAGAATTCCAGCCCATTTTGTGAAGTGATGCTCTATTTTTAGCAAATATATAAAATTTAATGTTACATTTTCCAGAAGTTTGTTTTTATCCATTACGGGCAGATTATTTTTAGACCATTAAAAAGGGACTACACTGAACTTGACTCTTTACATATTTTCCATTTTTTGTTTTAGATTCAGAAGTGCTAAAAAAGGTTCTAGCAGATGCAGTTTTATTCCATCCTCTTTAGTAGAAAATCAGCCCCCTTTCTAAAGCATTTTAAAGAAAAGTCAGTTATATAAATCCTGCAATTGATTTGAGAAATCTACAGAAAATTTCAGCTCAAGACAAAAAACAAACCTTCCAAAGTCCTTTGATGGTTGGTTCCATACTTTCACAATTGAAAATGTGATGGAGAATCTAGATGCCACATAGATGCCAGGCAGTATTGATTTTGTTAATAATGAAAACATTCATAGGTGATTGCAGCCACAAATAAAGGAGCCCACAAAGCCCTGGATGTCTCAACATCTTTAGCTGACAGCCAGAATAGAGAGGAGAGTTTGGAAATTTTGTAATTATTATACAAGATTTTGCAGAGCCTACAATTTTCCTTTTTTTTCTTTTTTCTTTAAATTCTGACCAACTGGGAAAAAATAGTAGATGGTTATGTTTTTCAGTATTGCAGCTTACAAAAGTGTCTGGGAAGATGGACTGCTCTTGAGGAGTATGCTAAGGTTTTGGGGTTATTTTTGAAAAGTGGATGCAGTTCTTAAGCTGGATGACACCCATACAGCAAAGTGAATGTGTTTCCAGACAGGCCCCTGATTCTCCATTTGTCTTCCCTTCTCCTAATGGCATCTTTCCTCCACCTCTCCTCACAACTCCATATCAAAAGTTTATCATGGTGGCTAAGAGGAAAAGCCAAAAGCAATCTCTCCCCCACATGGCTGTGCAGTAAAGAGATTTGACAGAAGCAACATCATGGTATTTATGACTTTGATGCAAGCCAGCAGATTTTTTAGCAGCTAAGAGCATTCCAGCTCAAGAGGCTGGATTCTCTTTGTCAGGGCTTAACACCTTCTATAAATCTTAAAGCATCAGACAAACAAAGCCTCAGTAAGCATTGCATGACTTCTAAAATCCTGAGAAAATCAAGCCAATAGAGCAAAAGCCAGGAGCAGTGAGAGACTTTATTCTGTATGCTTAGCCCCTTGATTACAGGCTTCTTTCAGCATTACTTTAAATTTGAAAAAATTTAAAAACCCAAACCCAGCAACAAACCTTTCAAGGGCTAATAACTGGCTCTTTTCTGGCTGTTTTCAGGGCTCTGTAAAATCCCTTCTAAGTTTTGGGCACTTGAAGTGACTGGACAGTGATCTCCTAAGCAGGGCAGTGGTAGAACTAAAGCCCAAAGTCACAGACCTGTGCAGTATCCTGTCAGCACCATGTTTTCCTTCACTGTGGAACTTCCACTAGAATATTATATTTTAAATCACACAGCCCTTTTCAGCCTTCCTGTGAGTTGCTTTTCCTGGCTTGAAAGCAACATCAGAGCTTTGGTAGTTTACTTAAATTGAGTTGTCAAGTCATACATCAATCACAAAGGCTGATTACTGCCAAAATATAAACATACTTCTTATTACAGCAGACCTCAGTAGATATCTTAATTCTCAACTACTCTTGCTCTGCAGTGTCAATAAAGGTGCCTTCTACCTGTGACATTCACCCTGACAAATTTGATGGCAACCCCTTCTGACCAGCATTGTGCTTGTCTGTCACTCTGCAGTTTTATGGCACAGGAAACTCAGATCATGACAAGATTTTTCACAATTATGAGCAGTAACTCGGTGGCAGAGTGCTCCTTTATGGGCCTGTTCCAGGAACTGACAAAACCATCTTCCAGTTCAAGCAGGAGAGTTTTGATCACCCCCTCAAGTGGTTTAAAGAGCCCAATTTCTTTGTCAAGGTTCTCAGAGGAAGAAAGCAATTTCTCAGTCCCTGAGCCATTGGTCACTGCTATGAGCCAAGCCTTGAGAGCCTGAGGGCTGAGGTCTATTAACTGCTCACGAGATTGATAACAGGGAAAGCTGCAAAGGAAGCCTTAGAACGCCAGTTTGACAATCTTTTGCACTTCTTGCAATACCATGGTGGAACAGATGCTGCCCCATAAACAGATATTTCATCAGAAACTGTTTGTCATTTACGATTTCATAAACAAAGCAAAAGGTAATTGCACCTGCACTAGACAGGAAGCTTTTGATTCCCACTTAGTGTCAGCTCATGAATTTCTGTTATCAGGAAAGTAGAGCTGACTTTGTAGCTACTACAGGCAGGATGGAACCATTACACATCCCTGTTCAAGTAACAGTGTTAACTTTTTTTCCTCCAGTGTAAGCTACTATTACTCTAGAGCAGTAACATCCAGTCCTTCCATCTCCTACAGAAGCTTGTTTCAAAGATTTCATTGTATTAGAAAATTAGGAAAATACAACCCAATTATCACAGGGAGGAGTTGTGCAGGCTCTTTATCAGTTTTCTCTGTATCTGACCTTAGAAGTGGCCAAATTTTGATGCACTTTTAGGCCCAACCAGTTCTGGCCATGAGTGTGTGGTCAAAGGTGGTCACTGACTCCATATCCCAAGTTTTTCCTGTTCCAAACCAATACTCCACACTACTGCAGCCACTGCTCACACCCACATAACCACACTCTGATCTTCACCCTGGTTTACTGCAGCTCTGCTTACATCTCTTTCCCAGTAATTAATTTTGCAGTTCATCTAATGAGTCCCTCAGCGTTTCTTTTGCTTTAATGAAAGGTAATTCCCACACAGTCACTGCACAGCTGGCAGGTATAAACAGAAGCCTTCAACTGTATCATGATGTAGGTCTCAGAGAGAACTCCTAGGATGTGCAAATAATGAAAATAAAATTAAATTAATGACATGGAAATTAGTTGGACATCTATTATTTATAAACTTTTAAGAAAACCCAGAATCAAAGATTAGAACTCAATGAGACAGGCATCATATTTAGCACTGCTTACACTTCAGAGAAGATTTTGCTATTTCATTGCAAGCTTAGAAGCACAAGACATTCAAATTCTAGTAACAGAATTATTTTGACATTAAAAATCTTAAAAGCCCATTAGGGTCTAAAGTCAGCCATTTCATAAGAGGGAAAACCAGACAATGCTCAGTTCTGAATGGTGGAAGCACTAGAAACAGAATAGTCCTGATATTTCTCCCCATCTGCTTTCCCCAAGGATGTAAAGAAAGTCCATTGATTTTTTAAAAAAATATTTCAATGTATGTGTCAGTTTTAAATCTGACATGCTACCTCTGAAGACCTAAGAAATAACAGTCCAATTTATATTGGAATAATTGCTTGGTATTTATAACTGCTTCTGGGTTATATTTGAAATGTAATTAAAAGCTGTTTTACTGTAATCACAGATGGCCCACATTTCTGGATTTTGTGACATTTCAGTCCTTCCTTGACACATGAACACTTTTAAAACACTTCTCACCACCACTGTAGCCTCTAAGAGCAATTAGCACTGCTACAATGGCAGAGATGGAAATAATATCTGTAATACAATTACTTTTTTACTCAACTTATGTATTCTTCTTGTACTGAACCCTCCATACTTTTTCCTGTTTGCAATGTGTATTGCACCCTCTTCCATTTCAGTTTTTTGTA